CCGGAATTAGATATAGATTTTAGCATTGATGAAGTATTAGATGTAATTAAGGGTTTATCTAGAGGCAAATCTGCTGGTATTGATATGAAAATTAATGAATATTTTATTGAATATAGGGATATTTTTTCACCAGTTTTGTTGCGACTATTTAATTCAATGTTACAAATAGGATATTTTCCGGAATCATGGGCTCAGGGCGTTATTATTCCGTTACACAAAAATGGGGATAAAAACAACGTCAATAATTATAGGGGAATCACGTTGATTAGTCATTTAGCTAAACTGTTTACATCTTTGTTGAATAAGCGTCTTCTAAAATGGACTACAAGGGAGAATATTGTTTCTGACGCACAGTTTGGTTTCAAACCTGGGCTTGGTACTAGGGACGCAATTTTTGCATTAAATAGTTTAATTATTAATTCAATAGAACAAAACAAAAGACTTTATTGCGTTTTTGTTGACTATAGCAAGGCATTTGATAGTGTGACACACCAGAATCTGTGGTTTAAACTTTGGAGAAGTGGTATAAGAGGTTAATTGCTTAATGTAATTAGATCAATTTATGATAATGTACGTTCATGTGTGAAATTAAATGGTAAATTATCCGCCATGTTTGATATACATGTCGGTTTATTACAAGGAATCATTATCTCCCATCCTTTTGTCATTATTTGTTAATGATGTGGAGAGCGAATTTATTAATTCAAATTGTCAAAGTTATGCATTACAGTTTATAAACCTTTTTATGCTAATATATGCGGATGACACAGTTTTATTCTCGGAAGATACTAAAGATCTTCAGCATATGCTGGATCATTTACAAATGTACACTGAGAAGTGGAATTTAAATGTTAATATTGATAAAACAAAAATTGTTGTTTTTAGAAAAAGAAAACGAGTACCACCTTTTGAAAATTGGACTTTTAATGGTAAATCTATTGAAATTGTTGATAAGTTTTGTTATCTTGGCTTAGTTTTCAACTATAATGGGAGATTTACTGTAGCACAGGATACATTAGCATCTCAAGGAAGGAAAGCATATTACTACTTAAAACGAAAAATTAAAGATTTTACCCTTAATACTAAAACTCTAATCTCTTTATTTGATACATATGTCGTTTGTATACTGAATTATGGGTGTGAAGTGTGGGGTCATAGTGCATCGCCACAAATTGAAAAAGTTCATCTCCTTTTTCTCAAAGATTTATTGAAAGTTATTAAAACGGTCAATAGTTCAATGGTATATTTTGAAACTAGGGTGTATTCATTACAAGTACAACGTAAAATTGCTATGATGAAATATTGGGTAAAAGTTTTAAATACGAATAATTGTATAGTAAGATCTTGTTATAATGCTTTACTTGATTTCAGTGTCAGAAAGCCAAATTGTAAAGTGAACTGGGTATACCAAATCAAGAATGAATTATGTAGACTGGGTTTTAACTATATTTGGGTGAGTCAACATGTACCAAAAGAAAACAAGTTTATTGAAATGTATACACAACGTCAGCATGATGTTTTTATTCAGGAATTGCGAAGTGCACTTGATACATCTTCTAAGTGTTATTTATATAAACATTTAGTCGATAACTTTCAAATTCAGTGGTATCTAATTAAACCTATCACTTCCAATATTAAACAATTACTGAGCCAGTTTTGAATGCAATGTCACACTCTTAATATAGAATCTGGTCGTTATAACGGTACACCTAGAAATCAAAGAGTATGTACAATTTGTAACACAGGTGATATTGATGACGAATTACATTTTATACTTCTTTGTCTAGCCTGTTTAGAAATACGAAAAACTTACATTAAACAATATTATTTTCGACGTCCATGTGTGTTTTAATTAGTAGAACTATTTACATGTAAATGTGTTAAAACTTTAAGAAAATTGAGAAGATATGTATTGTATGCAACAGCTAAAAGAAAAAAACCTTCTTGTGTAGTAGTAATACATTGTATATTAATTTCATTTGTTATTATATGAGTATGAATTCTACTCTATTACCATAGCTTATTACTTGAGTTTTGATTGAAAGTCAACTTTCATTGTTAACACTGTGTGACGTCATAACTTTCCCGCATCATCTTTATTATTACGTCACAAACCAAATGATATAATTATGAATATTGATTCTCATGACATTGTTATATGTTAATTCCTAGAACTGTTTGGTGTCAATATATGTCATATTCACTATCTCTATGGAATTGCCCTCTGCCATCTTGAACATTTAATATAATTAAAATAATTATGTATCATTGCTACCAATATGTTGTTATTGCATTTGGAAATAAAACAATTCAACCGGGTATTCTTTAAGAATACTTGTCAAATGTACAGGTAAATCTAGTACAGATAAGAACTGTGTACTACATAAATATGGACGGGTAAATCTAGTAAAGGTTAGTACATTGTAACTACATAGGTATGGAGAGGTAACTCTAGTACAGGTAAGGAATGTGTACTACATAAGTATGGACGGGTAAATCTAGTACAGGTAGGAACTGTGTACTACAAAAGTATGGACGGGTAAACCTGCTACAGATAAGAACTGTGTACTACATAAATATGGACGGGTAAATCTAGTAAAGGTTAGTACATTGTAACTACATAGGTATGGAGAGGTAACTCTAGTACAGGTAAGGAATGTGTACTACATAAGTATGGACGGGTAAATCTAGTACAGGTAGGAACTGTGTACTACAAAAGTATGGACGGGTAAACCTGCTACAGGTAGGAACTGTGTACTACAAAAGTATGGACGGGTAAACCTGCTACAGGTAGGAACTGTGTACTACAAAAGTATGGACAGGTAAATCTAGTAAAGGTAAGAATTTTGAACTACATAAGTATGGACAGGTAAATCTAGTACAGGTAAGGACTGTGTACTACATAAGTATGGACAGGTAAATCTAGTACAGGTAAGAACTGTGTACTACATAGGTATGGACAGGTAAATCTAGTACAGGTAAGGACTGTGTACTACATAAGTATGGACAGATAAACCTAGTACCGGTAAGAACTTTGTACTACATAAGTATGGACAGGTAAATCTAGTACAGGTAAGTACTGTGTACTACATAAGTACGGACAGGTAAATCTAGTACAGGTAAGGACTGTATTACATAAGTACGGACAGGTAAATCTAGTACAGGTAAATACTGTGTACTACATAAGTACGGACAGATAAATCTAGTAAAGGTTAGTACGGTGTACTACATAAGTATGGACGGGTAAAGCTAGTACAGGTAGGAAATGTGTACTACAAAAGTATGGACAGGTAAATCTAGTACAGGTAGGAACTGTGTACTACAAAAGTATGGACAGGTAAATCTAGTAAAGGTTAGTACTGTGTACTACATAAGTATGGACATGTAAATTTAGTACAGGTAAGGACTGTGTACTACATAAGTATGGACAGGTAAATCAAGTACAGGTAAGAACTGTGTACTACATAAGTACGGACAGGTAAATCTAGTACAGGTAAGGACTGTACTACACAAGTATGGACGGGTAAATCTAGTACAGGTAGGAACTGTGTACTACATAAGTATGGACAGGTAAATCTAGTACAGGTAAGAACTGTGTACTACATAAGTATGGACAGGTAAATCTAGTACAGGTAAGTATTGTGTACTACATAAGTATGGACAGGTAAATCTAGTACAGGTAAGTACTGTGTACTACATAAGTATGGACAGGTAAATCTAGTACAGGTAAGGACTGTGTACTACATAAGTACGGACAGGTAAATCTAGTACAGGTAAGTACTGTGTACTACATAAGTACGGGCAGGTAAATCTAGTAAAGGTTAGTACTGTGTACTACATAAATATGGACAGGTAAATCTAGTAAAGGTTAGTACATTGTAACTACATAGGTATGGACAGGTAAATCTAGTAAAGGTTAGTACATTGTAACTACATAGGTATGGACAGGTAAATCTAGTATAGGTTAGTACATTGTAACTACATAGGTATGGACAGGTAAATCTAGTAAAGGTTAGTACATTGTAACTACATAGGTATGGACAGGTAAATCTAGTAAAGGTTAATACTGTGTACTAAACAAGTATGGACGGGTAAACCACTTTTGTCGGTTTTGTCCCGAGCCAAAATGCAGCATATACATTTGTATTTTAAGACACTGAACATATATTTATCCTGCAAGATTTGATTGAAATCAGACTATAAAAACTTGGGCAGTTTTGTTGTCCAATCTAGTGATCAAACTAGTGAAAAATAACACTTTTTTGTTATTTTTCATTTTCATGGTAAAAGTTCATATCCATGAAAGTCAACAAACAATGCCTTCAGTGTCTTCAGTAATAACAAATATTTTTCACTGGTGTGTCTAATGTTTTAGTAATCACGCATGCTGCTCGATGTCGATGTAAAACGGAAGTCTATTCATGATAAATAAAGCAGCTAAAAAAATGAAATTAAATACGGAAAGATAACAGTAACCCTAATAACGAGGAAATTATCGACAAACCAATCAAAAAGCAGAAGCTACATGATTACAATAGATGAAATTATGATATATTCTTCTCGTTATCTCCTGTTCCAAACAAAGAAGCTATTGGCCAAATCTAGTAGTCATAGGATTAATTACCAGAACAATACTTAATCTATATAGTCGTGTGATGTCTCGCCTGTTCGCTTTGTCAGTACATATAGTGTCTATTATATATATATATATATATATATAAATTGCAAAATTTACTAGGATTTATTATGTAACATTCCCGCCGGCGGTTGCGACATCGCCAAGACTTGTCTCAAAAAATTTGCGTTTTCATCAGTTTCCAGGGTTGACCATCGAGACTATCATTGGAATGAGTTTGTGGCATGTCTAATGAGAATAATTTTAAAAACTTTTTTTGCTATATGTAGCAGTTGAGAGGAAATGAACCAAGTTTTGTGTAAGGTCCGTCGGCTACAAATCTTATCCATGGTTACATAATAGATAGTACAACCAACACAAGACATTATATAGTGTATTTATTTGATCTGTTATCACATACACAACATAAAATAATCCATTGTTTTATTTTTCTCTTACTGCACCGATGTTTGTATAATATACAACAGACTCCTTCTGTCTATAACAGACTAAACAGCACCAACCGTTGCCTGCATCAATAACATATGGGAAACAGGAAGAACTAAACATTAAAACTTTACCTGTAAGCACTCATACACTCTACATTATACAAAGTGGATACAATCAACACAAAATAGCATCAAATCACTTTAATGCTACTAAATGATTTCTCTCTCTCTTTTTTTTGAAATATTTAAAGAATTTATAGACAAAAGTCTTTTCTTTCCAAATTGCTTAAATTTGTTGAAAATAATTTTTTCACATTATCAGATGCGAAATGTTTTAATCTCCGCACACAATAACACACTGTAAGTATTTTAACAAGTGCAAATTTAACACAGCACTAAGTTTCCAGGTCTGTTAGCATAATTTGAAGAAACATCACAATATGTGACATATCCCATGTGTATAATAATCACATAGCACTAAGTGTCAATGCTTTCACACAAACCTGTCATATATCTTTATCTGTAGTCAATTAAGAGAGTGCAAAATGAAATACCTGGCAAATAAACCTGGTTTTTTTATACCAATACTTCTCCATATATGTTTGAAAGTTAATTTCAATGAAATGGCCCGAACTGGGACAACTACGGAATATTTGCCTTACAAAACTTAACAGCTATACATAATTATTATTTCCTTTTCCCAGGTCCATAGACACCACAGTATAATGTACATACAGATATTTATTACAAGGATTTTACACTTACTGTCCTGGCATTAAGTAGGTATGTAAACCTTAAGTCAATGTTAAGTGACAATACAGCTGTAACCATTATTCTAGAGAAATGATGTGAATAATTATTAACATAAATGTACCCCCAGACTTCATGGCAAGTACATCATCATCAAACGAGTATATTGTATGAATATTATCTAGAATTTTTAGAGATTAATATCCAGCTTATAGAAAGAAAGTAAAATGTATCAGAATTTTTTTCATAGAAACATTAATGCATAGATATCCGACACCCTAGTAAAATAATATATACACTCTATATATGTAGATAGAGTATACATCAAATTGAACTTGTGCCTACCTATGGTATATCAATTATATATTATGTATATAGTGTTATTTAACATAGCAATTAATTGTGAATTTATTAAAACAGAAACAGAAGATTGCGAACATCTAAAATTCTGCTTTTATCATCATAATTTGGTTACTGGTTATCATAACTATTAAATACGCAGTATACAAGATTCTAAACACTATGAATGACATTTGCCTTATAATTATACACTGCAATTACGGTATACTTGCCTGGTAGAATTTGGTTTCTTTGTTGTTGCAAACTTCTATACTTAATTAGACCCACAAAATAAACATTCTTATTCCCTAAAAATCCATTCTGTTAAATTGAAACCATATTTTAAGGGGGTCGTAACGGTATTATTGATGTGTAATTTAATGATCAAAATGACATAGTCATAATCTACAGAAGTTTTACAAATGACTAGATAACTTCAAAACACTTTATGTAAAAATCTGGGAAGTCTTATTTATTGTATGACGAAGATCAAGGTAGTTTGGTTTTTGAAATTATCTTTCACTTTTTAAAATGTCACCATTAGTCAAACCCCCCACCCCCTCCTCTAAGGTAATTTTAATCTCATCATGAATTATTTCCTTTTAATAACCAAATTCAAAAACTCAAAAATTGCTCCAAATAAAAATCTCGTTAAGGACATTATTCTTTATCTGTGCTGCCGCCCACTCACTAACACAGACATATTATCTCCTTAGTGATTAATGAGGGGTTGAAAGGTTCAGGTTAAAACCTATCATCATCCTTACCCTATACACTTCACTTTGTCAACAGTGCTCTAATAAATACTAATTGAAGAATATCATTGGCATGGACAAAAATCAATAACAGAAAGAAAATTAATAACGAATCTAGAGGACGTCCTAATTTAATGTTGATGGTGTTAATTACATATTCAACATATTAAACAAAAAGAACTAAACATACATACAGTTATAAATTAAATGACCTTAAATATGGGAAAACATATGATGTATAGATGTATATCTAACTTTTGAATAATCTCATTATTGTGATAATTAAAACATACATAATGAAGATGACAATGGATTTGATAGTGATGATACAATGGTTTACACATTCATCAACAGTTACAAGGCTTACTGGGCGATATCATACTGTAACTAACCTCAAACACTCTGTAACAGACACACAGCTCACTCAGGCAGGTTGTACAGAAATACAATTAAGATATAGGTAATAGTAACAACTTTATCCGTTAGAAAACATGAATACAAACGGGAATTTCTCTCATTACAGCTATGTGTATTTATTTCTCAAAGTTAATAAACATAGTTTGTAAAGTGTTTCTTTACTTAATTTTATTTCAGACAAAATGTATAATACGTGTCATGTAAATATTAAGTTACCTGAGTAAAGTATGTACCATCTACTTCTACATATTTGTAATCCTTAAACATCTATTTGAAACGACCAAAAAAAAATCGTCATTCCTGATGGATATTTATCAATTAAACTTGATATCTGTTCATCAGTAAAAATGGGACTGTGTGACCCCACAATTACTGAAATATTAATACTGCAACTTCTTTATTGAAACAACATAACTTTGTAAAAGAATGAATATTGAATATCATTTACCAGCATTAATGAAGCTTTGTACCAGTATCCTTGTCTCTAGATTGTCTGGTGAAATTTCTGAAATACTAGGATAATGTTTGTGCAGAAAAACAACCAACATTTCCTCCTGAACCTTGTCAAGATGAAGCCAAAGAACAGGACTGGCAAAGACACACTCATGTATATTTATCAAATTCGGCGGTAACAAAATTAACATTTCAAAAATGTACTTATATAGCATTATATTGTTACAACATGTTTTAAGGAAACACATAATTGTCAAAGTCTGTTGCTCTTATAGAAACACATAATAGTCAAACTCTGTAGCCCTTTGTCACCCAAAGTCCCTGAACCACCTACAGCATTCATGCTACTTGAAAAAATCTGATGCAAGATTTACAAAGTGTTTGAATTATTTCTATTAGTAAGAAGTCAATCTCAAATATTGCAAATTGAAGAAAAGTATTTCAAGAACTTTGTTCAGTTTTTCTTCAAGATGTAAAAGTATTTTTATGGAATGGTTGGTCACACTGGGTAAATGAGAAATGTTTATAAATTTGATTCACAAGGTTTGGTCATAATGATGCCCTTCTCAATCACTATATGAACAAAATTTGAAAAGCACGCGAAAAATCATTATCACAAAATCTCTAGTATCAAAAGAAAAGTTGGGTTTCCCCCCCCCCCCTTAAAGCAAAGGGAGATAACTATCACAAAATTTCTAGTATCCCACAAGAACATCTTTTATATATATTTTGATAATCACAAAATGTTGGAATTTATATAGCATATTCAGAGTGGTTCAGGATTTATTTTTAACTTTTAATGGCAAAGTTTGGCGATACAATATCACATGACTTTGCTTTTATACTGCTATCCCCATGACTACAATGTTCCATAATCTGGAGGATCATCGCTTAAACTCTCATTAGCTATAAGTCTTTCTGTATCCTGTTCCTGGATATAGTCTGAGGATTTTTTCACAAGCTGTTGTCTGAAAAGCTTAGCTTTATTCAATGGTGGCCCTGTAGGGAAGAAATCAATTTAAAACCATTTAACATTTCAACCTCAAAATTTAGTATTAAATTGCTCAACCGTGTCAAAGTAGTCATGCTTCTCAAGGGTTGTCGTTGACATATTTGAATTCTGGCTTTTGTAAAGTTTCGCTTTATTCAATGGTGGACCTGTGAACAAGAACACAGTAAAAAAAATTATTTTTGTTTATGATTGATTACAACCAGTTAGACGAAACCCTGTGATAAGCCTGAATGACCTTGACCGAGTTGGGAAATTGTGTAATTGAAAGAAAAAAATATTTTGACTTGAAATAAAATATATCTGATGCCATGATTTGTTAGAGCAAAAGAAAAGCCCAGCAAAAACCTTTATACAAGTCTGAGTTTTTTCATACATATTTTCAGAATTGAAATAGATTTAAGTATGTGCCTATTAAATATTGGTAAATAAATTTGTATCTCTGCTACACCTAACCATGATGTGTGATTTACAGGACGGCTGATGGCGTTTGTTGACAAAACGAAGATTCAATTACATGTGTCAAATTACACCTTTTTTTTGGTCATTTGTCATATGATAATTTTTATTAATTGATTTTTTTAACTAGAATTAACTTCAAAAAATGTTTTTCACTTAGAAACAGATTCCTGAAGATAGATACTATAACTTCAGAAAATTTAAAAAAGAAAAAAACTGAAAACAATCTACAAAAAAAAATCAGACTTGTGTAAGTTTTCTGACAAAACCCATGGCAATAAATTTGCTAAGTTTTCCAGCAGCATACATGGAAAAAAGTTCATGCAGTTTACATGCAGTCTGTAAAATATTAGTAATGCCAAAATGAGTCAATTTAACGTGATAATTAATAGTGGAGTGTTGGGTTTTTGTTAATGGTTAGTGTTGAAAAAGGAAATGAAAATATGGCTGAATATAAAATAATCGGCACGTGTTAGTGGATTAGTGATAGGTTTTAAAATATAAGGTGAAACAGGCTATTAAACACAGGCAAATAAATAAAACAACTTAATCATTAAAAACATCTATTCACCACAAAAAATCATCAGAAAAACATTCAATGAAATCATGTATAAGAACCATCTCTCTCTACCCAGTATTTATCTACTGGTTAAAGAATCACTGAAATCGTGTTTAAGAACAAATTATCTCTGCCCGGTATTTATCTACCGGTTAAAGAATCACTGAAATCGTGTTTAAGAACAAATTATCTCTGCCCAGAATTTATTAACTGATTAAAGAATCACTGAAATCATGTTTAAGAACAAATTATCTCTGCCCGGTATTTATTTCCACAATACTTCCTGTTTTCTTTGATATTTTGATAGACATTAATAATGATTAAATGATATACAGCTATAGCCAACTTCATCATATAAAGACTTTTTTTCCTTTTCTTTATTCATTAGTTAAGTGAGAGAAATAGAAATTAATTACAAAGAAAAACAGGTTGGAACTTAAGACATTAAAAAACATTTCAATTTGATGTTTAAGGAATTAATTCAAAACCAAAATAAAAAAAGGCTCATGAATACCCTGTACCAGAAATTAAGCCATGCATTAGAAAGTAAAATTTTTCTCTAATATCAATACATGTGAATTTAATTATTTAATGTTTGAAACAAAATCAAAGAATATCTACAGTACAATCTCATGAAATCTGACAAATTCAGCTTTTCTTAATAGATAGAACTTTAGAGACATCTGTATTAAATACATGTATTAGTTAAGAGTTATGTTTATAACAAAAATATGACTTATTGATTTCAGCTGGTTCTACAAGGTTGACAATTTCTGGTTCATGTTAAAAGCAGTAGAATAAGACAACAGAAAGAAACAACGATTAGATGATGAATGGTTCACTGTGTAAGCACTTTCCAACCTACTGGTAATAGTGGGGAGAATTATGTCCCTTACATTTGGCGGTTTTCATCTATAGTTCTGACCAGTGCATTTTTCAAATAAGGAAGGACCTGCTTATAGTGTTTTGCTTTCCGAGGATTTTTTAATAAGCCTTTTGAGGCCTGTATTAATCTCAGAAGGTTCGTCCAAATTTATGGCTGAAACGTTACTTTGAAAGTGCAGACACACTGGTTTGCCCCCATAAATTTACAGGTCCCACTTCTGATTTCATAACAATATTGCAATTTTGCAGGCCTTCAATGTCCAATTACAACGAAGACAGTCTGAGATTTCATCGCAAACTAAAACAATTTTCCACAGGCTATAAAACGAAATATCATTCCTCATTCAATTTTGCAATTAAGAAGAAAAAATGAAATTCTTTCAAAATGAAAGTAATTCTGGAACCAATCATCGCCCACAAAAAGGGAAAATTTTATTTCAAGGACTAGAAACAGAGATAGATATATCCAGGGTGAATTTACTTACCTATATAACTGAGGAGAACTGGTAAGAATATAAGACCATGACTGGCTCCAAAGATCACCATTCCCAAGTACATGCGGAAATAGAAAACTTGGAAAAGCTGAGACTTGGAGAACGCCATCACAATAATACCTCCAAGCTTTGTCAGTGTGATTCCACTCAACACCTGTGGTAAAATTTGTTCAAATTAGAAACAGTCATTACCTATATACAGTCAGCAGGTTATCATACAGGTAAAATCAAGGTTTAAAAGACCTGCAATGTTGTTAAATGCTTAAGCTTAGTTTTGACAGGATATCTGATAATTGAAGCTGAAAATATTCTGACAAATATTTGGTTTGGATGTGGACTCCATTTCTTTTCAAGGGAAAATTTTGTACTTTGACTATGCTCTCTATCAAATATGTTCCATTATGATGTATACTAGACTCTATTACTCACCGAGCTTCCCATATTGGCTAATGCTTCCCTTGCTCTTTCAACACGCGTTGGCAGAAGACTAACAGCAAAAGCACGTGTAATGTGGGCACAGAACTCCACAGAGATACCTATTGCCTGCAAATAATACATTCAAAATACTGTACATTCTACAAAACAGATATTAAAACAAATAATGAACTGACAGGTACTTCAACTAAAATGTTTAAATATATAAGAAGTTTTTGTCTGAATGAAATATTCATCAACAGATGAAAAAGCAACATCATCCTAAATGTATAATAACTGATATGTGTTGTATTTTGTAATTCTAACAATTTAAAGATATAAGACAGCTGATGTGTAGATTTAAATTTGCCATTCATTAATATGATGAGAATACATTTTACAGCAAAAATTTCATCCTTTATTAGTCAGTCTCTTTAACCAATTGTTCATTTCAAATCTGCTATGTACAAGGTATTGTAAAGTAGAGTATTGCCTCCCATGAAATATTCAATTTTACTATGTAACATCAAATCATGTTGAAATCTGATTCATGATTCTGATAATCAAATGAATATTTGGATCCTTTTATCAAGTTTAAAAAGCAGTCCATCTTTGTTCACAGCCAAATTCTCTTGGAAATTGGCTGACAACCAAATTTATTCATAGAACAAAAGTGATTTTGAGCTTTAAAATCCTGCAAATTCTGTTTCGTGCTTTTATGAAAGTAAACAAAAGTTTCCTCAGTTACACAATTTATCTGAACTGTTGTGACAAGTCCTTTAAAACCCGACGAGTGGGCACACACATGGCTGTATGTGTTGTAAGTAATTGAGGTGACAATTGCAGAGTTCTAACTATTAGGAATGTTGATAAGGAAAGGATTGAAGTTACATTACACCATTCATTACACTTTACATATTGTATGGAAATAATCTTCACGAAAACATTTAAATGCTTCTGTTGGCATTCAGTACTGTCCAAGAAAGCCATCTGGAATCACTTCAATGCCCATATCTATTCATCATTTTCTTTTCAAAGTTTATGGGGAGGCAACTCTGATTTCTCCACATTTTTTTAAAATTTATTCCTTTGCTAAATTGGCAGTTTATGAGCACAATTGACATTAGTAAAGTAAGATGAAAGCAATACAATACAATGGTTATTATAAATTATTGTTTGTAAAAAGTTCCATATTTCTATCCTAAATTGGTTTTCCAATGCCAATTTCAAAAAATAATTTTAAAATGTTAAATTGAAGTGTGACGTACCATGACCAGGTTGACGAGGGACAGAGCATTGAGCGATATATCCCATAAATACATGAAACCAAGCATGTCTATAATGATCATCAGGATTGTAATGACAATCATCAGCGCCGAGAAAATGTCAAATCCGAGCAGGATAAATGCCACGAAAAATATAGCAACTATACAGAGGGCTAGGTTGGTGATGGTGGCCTTCCACATGGTTAGGTACTGCTCATAGAACACATAGAAAATGCTGCAAAAGATAAAATATATTTACAAAGAGGAACAAAAACATGATGTCCAGGAACAGTACCAACACAAAAAATACTGAATCTATACGTTCTTGTTAATTTCTATTTCCTTCGTAATTCAAACCAGTTGGGACTTTGGTTATGTCATCACAGAAAATATTTATCACACTTGAAAGGAGATGTAAATTACGAAGATACAAAAATCAATATCCTTATTATTAGAACACTTTTTATAAGTGTCTTACAACTCGATTAATATTCTTGTATTACCTGTAAGGGAAGACTTTGTACTGTTTGCCTTTGGATTGTAAAAACCCAGTGATGTTTTGTGATATGGAGTTGGCATGGTTCAGAGCATCTATGTAGTCTGTGGATGTCTTCAGTATCGTGTGATAAGTCATGAAGTAAGTAGCTGGAACACAAATTACATACAATGCTAAATACCTATGTACCTAAAGATTGCTTGCGTAAGTTACCCGCCTCTAACCCTGGAAAATGAAGCTAGGTAATGCATGAAGAGAATTGAAAATTCAAATAGCAAATACGAAAGTAAAAAATTACCTAAATTTGAGTAATGAATCAGAAGTTTATCAGCTCCATCATTTTTCTTCATTTTTTTTTTTCTTTTACTATTTTTTATCATTTAGTTTATGCAACATATCTAATTTGATCAGAACTATGCTCTAAGTTTTAAATGATTTGAGAGGCTCTGTTTGGTTTCCATGGTGAGCAAAATAAAGATAAAAATTTTGTTGCTTACTACTCTAACCTTCTTAACTAATCCTGTGAAATCCAATAGGATTCCATCGGACAGGTTGAAGACAATAAGTGGAAACCTTAGCTAACACGGTGATCATATACAGTGAAACCTTGTTATCTCACGCTCTGTATGATTTGAATTATTCTGTCTGTCCTGGCTAAACTATACACTTATCATTTGCTCTTTTTGAAATCCAATCATCATATGACTCAAAGTGTTCCTATGATCCCGCCGACTTTGAGATAACGAGGATCCACTGTACAATGTAATGTAATGAGAGATGAAATAAATTCTTTGTTATTTGAATTAATTATTTCTATCATTACTATAGAAGGACATATAGAAACTTAAAGAGTATCCTACCTCCAACCCTAGTCTTGTTGTTGACCAGATCTACAGCACTTCCATAGGCTGCATGTCCACTGTAGACGAAAATTAGTTATAAACATCTAATAAAATACTGCAACCATACTCAGTAACAAACACACTTCCTGGAATGACTTATTAAAGTTTCTACCACCACCTCTTTAATATTTAATATAATACTAAGGTAATTCTGAGATATTTGAAGAAATCTGGCACCAGTAAAGAGAACTTTATCAACTATGAAAGTTATTTCTTTCTCAATTTCAGCTATTATTAAAATGAATTTATGTTTCATCATGAAATCTAACCAAGAAATGAAATATTTGTCTTCATCACAATTTTTTTTCCTGAATAGTTTTCATTTAAATGTACAATAATTGTTTTGCAATAACTTGAACTTAAATATATTTTTCTTTCAATTTTTACCCTTTAGCACACACGCTTCCTGGATTGTCACTCAGGAACCAGGGTAGATATTTCATGAAATCCTGTTTTACAGGGTGGCCATTGATCGCTCCGTGGAGTTTACAGGGCTGGCACAAGGTTTCATTGTCAGGCACTGAAACAGGAACTTTAGATCAGTATATGCTTACAAGGCCATAAATAGGCACATATGAAGTATTGAACAGACTGAAAGTGATGACTTTGCTTCAAATTCAAAATCATCACAATTTCCAAACTTTCTTATCACAGCTGTTATGTCCCTCTATTTAAAATAACATAAAAACTGCAAAACTAAACAGTTTTATACCTGAGCAAAAAAAACCTTTAAGAATGTTCTCCCCAAATGTATAAAGATTTAGAAAATGAAACCATTTTTGATATCTCAAGATATACTGTCATCGATGGTGTATTACAGATGGTAAGATCAGACAGCAAATCTTAGAACAGTATTTCTATCTTTAGTATCTGATACAGGCAGAACAAAACAAGACGTGTGATCAAAACACAAGTAGAACTGACCTTCAGACGAACAGAAGCTGCCATTATTGGTGTAGGAGCGACAGCATTGTGGATGTCCTCCAGAGTTAAGCCAGCTGAAGTAGTCATCTAACCAAGAGGACACAGGTTGAGCGATCCTGGAACTACCAAATCAATACAACACTATAAATCTGGTGTAGTGAACTGTTATAGTCAGTACTAGTGTACCAAGTTGTAAAACAGGAATATATTTACTCCTATAAGCTCTCTCTTCTTTCTGTGTCATGGCTGTAAATATCTTATGGCTAAAATAGTATGGATAAACAACAAGATGTCAAAGGGTCTCTTTTCAGGGCCTTTTCCCGTTCGTTTGGGAAAAGGTTGTTTTACCTCATTTTAGGAAAAGACATACTAACTTGGAAGGAATTTTCAGGGGTAAACTATTCAGGGAATTTAATCACATTATGAAATAAATCAGATATGAAAAGGGCCAATATTTGGCCCCACAGCCCCTATCACGAAAAAAGTCTTGGTAAGATACTTACTAATTAGACCTGAGAGAGGCTGTATACACCTGGCCAGCTAGTGAGTCTTGTGGACATCCATTTCCTCCACAAATCTCATTCTGCCCCTGCATTGTCACATAATCATGTCCATCTTCGACTACAAAGTATACTGGAGGACCAACATGCAGGTACTCCGACAGATTGGTGAAGTAGTCAAGTACATAGGAATCCTGTCCAACAAATACAATATTAACAATCAATCCTGCTGACAAATGTCTTAAATATGATTTAGATATCCGAAATATTTTACACAAAAACAATGTTTTAGAAATTTTACACAAAAAAAAAATTTAGAAAATGCTGCCAAGTAAATTTTAGTTAAGTTGCTAAGTTTAAACTGAATCAGTTGATGGTTTTCTTTATATAGCAAGTGGTGACCTTGGCCTTCACCTTGGGCTCCTGAAACACAACAATGTCCAAAGTATCTGCATAAATGATGATTGTATAAAGTTTTACCAAAATCTGTTTGAGATGGGACGCGACAAAACAGGACAGCACAAACATTGGCACATTATTTCTCCCATAATCTTTGGTGAGGGTACAGGGTACCCTTAAAACTTACATCAGGCATGGAGAGTTTCTGGTCAAGACCGACATCAACTTTATGTATAAAAGCAAAACTGACAGCCATCCAGCCGGTGAACACTAAAACCTGTAAAACAAAAAATTCCATTAAAAAATGTTTAAAACAGCTAAATAAGAACAGTTTTCAAAATCGCTTAAATGCAAGCATGCTGGGTAAATATGAAATGAAGTCTGAATTAATTAGTAGTTCAAACATTAAGGCAGAAGTTTGTAGTCAATTAACAAAACTTACGACAATGGGTCGAACCCACTCCTTCAGTAGGAAGTGAGAGTAATAGTATTTAACCACTCGGAACAGCCATCCCTCGGACTTCTCACTCTTCTCGGGGGGCAATTGTACACAGCAGCACATGTCATAACGCTGACTCTGTTAATAACATGGTGGGAAGTATACATTAAGTTTACATAAAACTCAGTAACACCTCGACAAATTGTCAACATATATGGTAATAGAATATATAAGAAGATATGAAAAGTTATATCAGCTTTTCAACAATTGCTGTGAAATCTTGATTTTTTTCTTTTTTCGTAGATTTTGTGGGAATTCTTAATCAATGAAGTCCATGAAATGTTAAACTTAGAGTAAGCAGATTTATTGAGCTATATTCATCTACAAAATCAAATGTAAAGGAGAGTGATTTTTTTGGAAATCTCAAAAATTGAGCCCCACACCACATAATATCTGATTTTACATTAAATTTGCCAACAACAACACTGTCTAGGTGTTCCAGCTTTTATGACCAACATGTAATAAAACACATTAAAAAACAGACTTTTAAATCATGATAGAAATATAAAAACAAGGCCAATTACACAGGGTTACATTTACAATAATGACCATAGAAAGCCTTCAGAACCTTGTACAATTTTTCTGTCTCCTATTATTTGTACACTTTCTTAGTTTCTGAACCTACCTCTTGCCGACGGGCGTCCAATGTCATCAGTCCCACAAAGCATGTGATCTGCAGGAGAAAGTCGATGAAGACAGCCATACCAGCATACATGGAGAACACCTTCACCGCAGGCATGTCCGTAAGCGCTCCTAAATACAGGTATTCAATAAAATTAGACAACAGAGGAGTAATGCAAAATGATAACTAATACATTCTCCTGAATAGGAAAATGCAGAAGAAGAAACAAAGCTAAGTGAAGGAGGATTCCTTAGTCGATGTCCAGAGTGTTTATGTAGCGTTTTATTGGTAGATTTTGCAGTGTTGAAAGATTCTATATTGAAGGAAATATCAAGATTATCATAAACAGACATATTTATCTCCACAAGTAAAATGTCCAGAAAGTGGAAAACAATGGAAGCCTAATGCACAGACACTTTTTAATCTACTAAGCTTCGATTCTTTAATATCATCAAGCTTGCTGTAATCTCTGAGACAGACTAGCATGAAATGACTTACCTAAGAAGAAGGCTACAGTCTCAGTAAGACTTGATAGTAACATGGAAGGCCCAACGCGTCCGACAATTCTTCCGATCTGATCCTCTAGGGATTCATTTGGTGACCTTACATCTCTCTGAAAACAAAGTAACACATCAATCAGTATTACAGATATAAAAGATGTTAAAGGATGTTTGTAATATTTCATTGAGTAGATATTTTTCAGCTCCCTGTGATTGTCTGAATTTCAACAGATCATCATATTGATAAATTTGACCACATGCTCTCCTTCATATGCAACACTTCAACCAATTCAGTTTTTAAAAATAGGATGACTTAATTAATTAAGAATTTGTTTCCTTTGAGGAAACTGTATAAATGTAGTCTTTACGACACCATTTTAGAATCTCTACATACAGAAACAGGTCCTACAGTAACCATGCCTACATAACTCACCTGATAACTCTGGACTAAAATGAAGATGTTGTCAACTCCAACAGCGAGAGCCAGGAATGGTACAACTTCGGCAATAATTAAAGTAGCAGGTATACCACAGAAGCTGAAGAATCCAATAGAGGCTCCGACTGATATAAGTACAATGGTGACACCTGCCAAACCTAACAAAATCTTGGAGTCGACCTGTAATACAACACCTGTCTCAGTTAGTGTTATCTTTTGTTCTATATATAGTAACCAGAACAAGTGTCCATTACATATTGTTATTTTATAAAAATAACTTAAGCAGGTATATAGCTTGAGGTGTTCCCATAAAATCTCTTTATGTAAAGACTAAGAAAACAAAAGAACTAGAAATCATAATCATAAAACATACAACATGATATGACTTATTCAAATACCATGTACTTTTATATTGGGTCATGATGTAAGTCTAATTTGGTTCCATTTCCATTACCTACCTGGTACTACATTGTAATGTAGGAGTAAGGGTGAGTGTGACTGTAATATTCTACAAGGCTTTTTTCTACAGGATTAGGAGTGGAATACCTTAATATTTTCCCAATCCAGGCTTTAAATTTCTGAAGTAATGTTACATAACAAATCGTCAAAAAATGTCTGGATGACATTATCTAATGTAAAATTTGTTGACATTTCAGACCTAGGTTCAGCACATTGTGAACTACACAGGAATGATATAAACCTATACATAATTATTAATCTGTTTTATTATTTTTCACATCTTAATTGAGATTTTTTCTCAACTTCAAAGCCAAAGACTTCATTCCCAAAGTAGTGAGAAGCACTCGGTTGAAAGTTGAAACTGACCAACAATCGGTCCAAACGCTCCCCAAGACAGTAGCAGTGGTTGAGTTGTCCAAGGGTCAGAGAGATGTACCCAAACATGATCAGGTAACTGATGAGGATGGTCAAGATGTCCGAATTACTCTCACGATTTATCTCGTCTTCAATGGAACGCTAGGAAAAATAAAAAAAACACTATGAAACACTCACATTGATAAATTTATAAATATACATATCTTGTTCACAAATAGAGGAAAATTCTCAAAAAGATCGCCTCCAAAATAACACAACTCTACAAACCATTATATGTGAATTTTGCTTTTTTTTTTAACTTTACAATTCTGTAAATAGGATACAAAGTAATCCTAATCACTGTGTACAAGGATACCAAATGGTAGTCATACCCCTGAATTAGCCCAAACCATGACAACAGAGAAATCTTGATACAGCAAACGGTTATAACAACACAGGTATATTAGTGACAGGTGTACAGAAGTCTAAACAGTAATGTGTAACTAATATGTAACAGTTAAATTACAACATGTTAAGATTCACACCTGCGGAGTCAATTAATCACAAACATCTACAGACTAAATATGAGAAGAATGCAATGGTCATTTTTGGACTGGAGAAATTCTTTTCTGAAATTAACGAAGTCTCTCTCACATCCTTAATTTAAAGACTTACATCTGACTAACAGACTGATTTAAAACATCTCAAGACTAATACTTAAGAGCGCTGATAAATTTGAAATATCTTATGACTTGCATCTGAGTTAGTCGACTAATTTGAAACATCTAAGACTTACCTCTGATGAGTATGCAATGGTCATATTTGGACTGGAGAAATTTTTCATGAATTTAATGAACTCTTTCTCCCAGGCTTCTGCTGGTCCATTAAGGGACTCCTCGAGGTGGTTATTTACGACAAAAGTAATGACAAATGCAGTTGCTGATTTGTAGTCTGAGCCTAAGGAGTTGAAAGTAGGTCATTATAAAACTATCATCTTTCCATCTCTCAGAAATAATATAATTCTTATATCATCATACAGCTATGTTTGATAAAAAAGGGAAATCTGAGACAAAAATTACACAAAACTACACCCAGATAAGATTAAATGGTTTACAGGTTTCAGTTCACGCACAACATAATAAAAAGAGATCATGATCATTCCACACAGGTACATGTTTCATTTATATTCAAAATAACAATGACAGATACATTTCATACCTAGATGAAAATGGAGTAAATGCATGAAGAATCTTTAAATTGTACTTCTTTGATTAAAGCACTACATGTCAGATTCCTTTCTTTCTGTTTGAAATGTCGCATTTTTCTTTTTAAATCAATATTCATGTGTGTGTATAAACATTTAATTTTTAAATAGAAAGATTCTTATTTTATCCCAGTACCCTAAACATGTAAGGATATTTATAAGCAGGTTTTGAGATAACAGAGTACATTTCTCCTTATACCCAAAAGTTGAAAGGAATACAAACCATCAAAACCGCCCATTACAACCCAAGGGAAGACTGGCTGACCACTGACAGAGAGACATGATTGGTTGAGACCAGTTGTATCCCAGGTAGTAGCTGGTGCACTGAAAATAGGAATATGGAAGTCATATACAAACATGACTGACATTCAAAAAATCAAATAAATGCTTAATGTACATATTGACTTAGTAATTACACTTAGGAAGGTGTTTAATCTAAATGTGTATTGATAAATTGATAATATGACAAAACTTACCTGATACAGTACTCTGCATGGTCCAGGTAGTTAGCTTTGATATTAAATTTGTAGATAGTTTCCCACACAACTGCATCAAGGTTTTCATGACTTTCCTGCCAGTACTCCAGTGGACTCTGAATCGTGCATCCCTTGTTTGATGGAGAGAGGGGTTGAAAACATATGTCTTCCAAATGCACTGTTTTGTTTTCATGGGTTGCTGTGATGTTTTGTATTTGTAGTTGCAGGTCCAAGAGCTAAAATTCAATGAAAACAAAGATAAATAACAGTTAAACATATCAACTCCTGCATGTGATAAAATAATCATGGAGAAATTAAAATGATTCAGATACTACCATCCTGTAGATGTACTGAATGTTACTGCAGGTCAAAGTTTACTCTCACTATAACAACTCAGTCACATGATAGGTCACATGATAGAGATGGCTTTATATTACAGAGGTTTCTATGTCAATGTTTACTGTTGTCATCTAAGTGAAGAAACATGACTAAGGAAACTAACAGTTACATACCATGTGAAGGAAGGTTTTGTCAAACATATTAGAGTAGTTTGTGTAGGCAATACTTGGCGGTGGCAATTTATGATGGACGTAGCTATGGTTGTTTGGCCGAGTAACGATCAGCTGTTCTGTACGGTAGAAAGGACTGAAAAAGTGATATGTATGATGCATACAACTGAAATCTCAAACAAATGCTAACATATAAAACACTAGACAAATTCATCACAGCATCAATATCAGTTTGACAGAAAAAGATGTAATGTACCAGAATTTGGCTGTGCTAAATCAAGTGTTTTTTATAACTGTACTAACTCTTTACAACACAATACTTATTAAATTAATCCTAAATGATCTTTCTAGTGAAAGAACTTATACATACAGAGACTTAGTAGAAGTAAAATCATTCATCTCAAATGAAAAAGTAGTGAACTTCAGAATTTGAGATTCTGTTTATCCCACAACTTTAATATTTTTGTAATAATTTGTGAAAAAATACTCAACCAATCACAGCTCCACTAGGTCATAATACATGCACGGTCATAAAAAAACATTTGTGATGGGTGTTACAATACTAACACCAAACTATTTATGTAATAAACTAAAATCCTAGGTGTCTGAACATGAAATCCAAGGCTCTATTTCTATTGAAAGAAGGTGTCTTTTATGAAAAAGAGAAATCAGAATTACCCAAAATGAGAGTCAAAATATTCCTTTTGTGTCCTTGCAGTGCTGGTTTTCGATGACCAAAGATCAACAGGATTGGTAGTGACCTTGAGGAAAGGGATGCCTGCACACAGCGCTGCCCCCAGGATAATTCCTCCTACCAACACAACAATTGGATGTTTGGCACAAAATGTACCCCACATTTGGAAGGACCTCTGAAGGAAAGATTCCATTTTCTCTCCAAGTTTCTCCAAACAGTTTATATCTTCTGGTTGAATAGTTGGGTGGTCTGCCTTTTTCATCATTTTCTTCTTCCTCCTGCGGGCGGTATTTGCCCCGTTAATTTGATACACGTCACTTTCAACGGATTTTGTCTGCTCTTCCGCTGTATATATTCCAAATGCATTTCTTGTCATTATGTTATGCCACATAACAGAAATTCCAAAAACAATTATGAAAACCAGATAACAGCATGCCGTGATGAAATACCATGCATCTATTCCAAGGACTTTTGGCACCACATCTGGAGGTGGGATTGGAGGAATTGGAGCACAGCTAGCTTCACAGTCTTGGCAGCTACACGCTGACTCATTCATATATTTTTTATAACAGGGTGTGATTGAAGAATTCATAGGAACGCTGGTTACATTGCTTGGCGATGTCCAAGGAACATCTTGAATATAGAAATCTATCTCAAACGGGGTGTGCCCATTAGATGTATCTCCCATGTACTGCAGCCAATTGTATGGTGTGCACTTGTCAGCTGTACGTCCACAAAACAAGTTCAGAGCCAACTCATTAGCACTCGGCATTTCCACGTTTTTGCAGGAATTGTACATACCAAATGCAAAGTCCGTGGACATTACATAGTTAACAGACTTTACAACAGAACCGCCATCATCATACTCCTTCACCGATACCGAGTCACTCATTTCAGGGTTACATGTCAAATAGCAGTAAATTTCCAAGAAGTTATAGTAGCAAGATGGACAGCGACGTAGAAGTTGCTCTGGAAGGCCCATGTTTGTCTCAATGGTATACATTTGGGCCGGACTGCAGCAGGTCTCTGTTGAGTTGGGACCTAGTATTGAAAATGGATAAAGAAAGCAACATGACATTAAATTAAAATGAAGATTAATTACTGTTCATGTGGTAACTTTCACATATCAATATTTTTCCAATTTTCTTTTAAAATGATTTGAATTATATTTCCACAAATTCAATATTTGTGATCTGGATGTAAAAGAACAACAACTACCAGCTCACCACATTATTTCATAGATTAAATTCTATGATCAGGTAAATACACTGCAAAATATTGAAAATATCAACCCCACAAAAATAACTGCCAATACCGTAACTTTTATCATTTATTACACATATCATGTTCTCTGAGAATAAACACTCAGAACGTGAGACACATACAGTATCATTTACCTGAACTTCAGATTTTTAAATCTGACAGCTTAAAGCTGGACAAAAATCCTAAAAATTGATGGTAAACAAAACCTTCAAGGCCTAGTCTTACCTTTGTATAGTCCAGGACAGTAGTGCTTCAGTCGTGCTAAGGCAGTGGGGTCTGTGAGAGGTTTAGCTGTCCCATTATAGGCACAATTTTGCTTTCCTGTGCTTGTATCTTTACATTCGTCATACCAAATACAGTTCGCTTTGCCCACACCAACCTGTCAATAGTACCAAGCATGATGAGTACAAGAATGTATTGCTAAAAACAGCATGTCAACCTTTAACAGCCCCCAAAGACTAATACAATAAAACTGATTTGAAACAAATTAATTATCAACACAATATCAAACCACAGCACCTAATGTTTGATCCCTCAGGAACCTCTTTGCAATTAGTGCCAACAACAAAAAGCAAACTTGAAACATCAAAAAAACATAAACCCTAAAGATTCTGCGAGAAATGATGATATATCAGACAAATCAAAAAATGAAAAGGAAAATCCAGTTTTACATAAAGAGTCAGAATGGTGGACAGACAATGCACGTCTATATACAGTATATTTTCAGCATTCATACACATTCATTCTGTGAACCGTATAAGCAAATACCAGTAAAAACATTCAACTAAAATCTCAACCGAAGGTTTTCGAACAGACAGATGGACGAACTGATAGGCAAAGAACCTCTATTATGTAAAGTATCAGTTTCCTAAAACACATTGTCAGTATGTAGAGTCCTATGTTGACAGAGACAGGCCAGAAACTAACGCCATCTCCCTTACACACTTTGGTTAAGACTGAAATAAATATAAATCCACCTTGCAACTTAATAATTTGTAAAAATTTGGAACACAGGGATTGTTGTATGATAAATATGGCATGTTACTCTGATGTCTGAACATCATAAATGATATGAAACTGCTCCATTTTGTGTGACAATTGTTGGCTGTCATATTAACTCTTATAGTGTAGTATTTCTTGTTAATACAGATTTTTCATCTTGATAACGATCCAATCAGAATATGTATTTTATTATCGTTTCTTATCATCATGAAGACAACTCAATGATATAATATATTTACATATTATTTTGAAACTTTTTCTATGTAGTAATGCACTAATTTTGATAAAAAATTAGGGATTAGGTAGACAACCTACAAATCCCAAATACAGGTGGAGATTCCACCTATGATAAGGTATATATAGAACCTTATTTCAAGGAAACTTTTAGTAGGGGTATCATATTTGTAACGTTTTAAGATTTAGAGACGGCTCTAGATTAAAATTAAACTTCAAGGGAGTGCTTCTGATAACATATTGATCAGGTTATCAAGGAATTATCAGATAAGATCTGAAGTTTATTTTGTGACAGTAAATACCGGCAAACAGCCGATACAACCCCTGCTGACGTGAGCTGACCTCAGTTTACTGTACAGTGGTGGGTCCATCCTGAACATGCAATAAAACACTATTGTTAAAATGTTCCTACAATCTGTTTTTTTTCATATCAAATATATTATCAGATAGTTTTTATGTAAATTACAAGAGGAAGATATTTTTCAATCAATAATATGATTTTATCAAAAATATGATAACTCATGAATTGGGGTCATGTATCACAAGGTCAAGTATTAACTTTCACATGTGTTCACACGTGGAAACAATCACTCCTCACCAGGTGTTATATCAGCTGTTATTACTATTATTAATTCAAATAATGTGCATCATACAAAATTTGTATAAACTGACACAGCAAATATCCAAGCCCAAAATAAATTATATTCAAAATTTATCTGATAATTATGTGTGACAAATATTTGGTATTTCTAAAGGCACACACCTATAATTTATGATCTGGTATCCAATCATTATACTCTTCAAAATCTTTCATCAAATAATGGAAACAATCTTGGATCAAGTAGTGTTTAATGTAATCATTTATGATGTGAATTCTGATTTCAGACTGCTAAACATTGCACCTGTAATTATCATTCAGATTCAATTTCATGATTACCATAAAAACAGATGTAATATCCGCATTTTTTTTTTTTTAGAAAATAAAGGTCCTAAATGAGGGTTGAACTTCCTAGCTCTAGGATTTTCATTTTTTTTTTTTTTTTGGTGAATCTGTAAAGCCTACATCATTGATTATATGGTACGCTCTGAAGAACTGGCAAGGAGTATCATGTACTTCCTTGAAAAAAGACAATAACAAATTATTATCAACATAACTTCAAAATAAGACGTACACTATCTCAGATCAGGTAATGTATAACAGGCATTTAAGATGTGTTACCAGTATTCATGAAAATGAAACTGGTTACACAAGTCCTTGTATACCGGCATGATATTACACAAGCCAGACTCTAAATGGATTCATCCATCCATGTTACCATAATTACGATATAAGTTAGCTGTGTGACTAGTATATATTCAATCATACAAATATTGTAGCCAAGAGTTCATAATTATATCATTTGATCTTACACCATATTTATCATTCAATACTTTGCCATATTTGGAGTCTTATCATTTTTATATGGACTATTTTTTGATGTCCTGTTCTGTATTGGTCCCCATGTGTATATTAGGCGCCTGTGTAAGACATACCTAAGCAACTAGGCAGCCATGTTGTTGACATTGGATATCTAGGTGTGACATGATGGGGTGATTCTTTCTACACTCACCCACCACCTTACTTCTATTTATGTACCAACGGTGTCCATCACTCAAGGTCATCCATTGGCCGAGATTTCATTTCAGCTTTCTGTATTTCTTTTTCACTTGTTTTAAATATGGGAGAACTTTCAAGGAAATGCTTGTTGAATACAGATAATTTGAATTTTTGTCTACAATATCAGTAGTACAGATCAATGCTAAATAAAATGAAAAGCAGACTTGGTTACATAAAATTGGATGAAGAAGACCCACTCTATATCATTTTTCATAAGTTGGTCATTTTGTATGAATGTATGAATTAATAACGCCAGAATTAAATTTAAACATGAAAAACTTGTGTTTAAATCGTTATTATGCAGTGTTCACACAGCAGGCTCATATTAGCTCTACTTCCATTCAAGAGACAGATACACTTTATAATTGGGGTATAATTTCATAAGGGTTGTCATCAGAACGAAGTATACATTTTCTAGTGTTTCTTGCAAGTATTTATATATACAGCTCATTTGTGTATACATGTATGTATTGTGTGCTAGGGGGAACAAGGTCCACTATATATAATTATCTGTCGTTACAAGTCAGTGTCACACACATTTACCATAGTTATCCTGCAATATGTCCATGATATCTGTTTTAGTTCTGAAGAAATACAACAAATATTATTTCTCTTTTCCATAAAATAACCCAAGATAAAGAATGTTAGGATTTTTCAGAGCCAAAAAGAAAATGACAGTACCTAGTAAATGTTATCATACAAACAAGATAATACAAATTACAAAATTGTACACAAATGAGTCACTGAAATAAAGCAGTGTTGATATCTCTTCTCCTTCAGAAATAACAAAGAAAAACAAGTTCAACATTATTTTAAATTTATGTACATATTCAGATTAATATACAGAAAAGGAAACATTTAAATCATAATTCTTTCCTTGAAAATTCCAAGAACTGCATAAAAAAGGTGTCAGGTTACTGGAAGTATAAAATGTTAAAGATTTTGTTCAGTTGTGAAAACATTGCCATATAATTGACTCCTGTCGATCGAACAATGCGCGGCGACGGGCAGAGTCACAGAGACGATAAACCACCATCATCAGTTGTGGTGTTAACTTCTTCATAGTATGCTTTACATTAATCATTTGTCTGATGAAGGTAACCCACCTGTAGTCATTGAAACATCACACTCTGATCGGCTTTAAGAACTTCTATTCTATTGACATTACCAACAGGAAGAAAATGTCCAGAATTATTTCCTGTTTTCTTACTTTTCTAATTTGACATTTTACAGAAGCTTCAAACATCAAGTAAGGTAATAAACTGTCAGAACAAATGTTGTTAAAAAAAAGGGGAAAAAAATGAAAACCAGATCTGTGTCAGTAAAATGTAATGAATAATAATTCTGAGGCTGTGGTGTTAAATATATTGGGGCCACTCATTAATTTTAAATAACATACTTACTGACATTCAGTCATGATCGTAAATTATCTTAAATCAAGACAGTATAAATTTCTTATGCATTCTGTTCATAACTGGTGGTTGTGTACCCCTAACCATGAATTTAAGGGGAGAACTTGGAAAACTAAGGGTACAAGTCTGGAATTTCAGTAAGTTGGGATTTTGTACCCTCATTCAGACGTAATGAGGAAGATGATCATGGGAGTTCACAAACTGATAAATTAATCTCCACTACCCTTGTTTACCAAAACAGGGTATATGTTATCGGTTGGTCCTATTGTAAGAGCAGTAGAATGTATGTACACTGGTGTTATCATACTGTCATATATTTCTATTTTATAACCAGCAGTTATCATGATAACTAAGATTTATTGTTACAAAGCCAGGTTTATACATTGATCAGTTTTTATGTTTACACGTCCAGACTCCCAACCAGCAAAACATGGGAAGATGACATACAATGATATTAAGAGTGTTAAATAGCATTTAAATTATTGACATTTACTACTGCACAGCACTCAGCAGAGAATAGTTCATCTTGCTCACCTGAAAACTCAGCGTTGCGAGCAAAATTATCCAAGTCACGTCCATAGTAGTTGTCTTCATCACCCACGATTTGATCATGAATGTTCCGATTGTCACCTGAGCTCAGTGACTTCGTTTGAAGTTCACTTATACCGGGTGGTTGAAGCCGGACGTCTCAGCCGATGTGCTTCGATACTGTGTTACTCACCCCAACATCGTACGATCATGTGACTGAAACTATAAATAGTACGGATCGGTGTTATTCAACGAAACGAACTACGTCACACACACTCTGATAATATAAAATATTTCATAAGTCACTGTCTTGTTGCGACGGTTTTATGTTGTTTACTTAAGTTGTACCTTATAGAAACCTACATACAAACTTTACAAGAAAACTCTACAGATGAATAAGGTTTGTAAAATCCTAAAATTAGGTGAACAAACATGGCACGCTTTATAATCCGGAAAGAATAACATCTGTTCCGGGAGATAATTAAAATGACGAAACCATGTAACAAACAGTGAAGGACACTTTATAGAGGTGTGCTGATAGTTAGGTTAATTTTCGCTGTATAAGCACAATTTAAGGGTTTACTAATCCCAAGAGTCGATGACGCTTTGAACTGCTCTGCCACTTATCACTTATTTTATTATCAAGCGGTAATCTGTATCTAAGTGTATGGTCCGATCTGTATAATTACAAAATTGTGCTCAGTACGACAGTACTGCAACTGTTGTGCCATCAGTTTCTCACATCGAACGATTGGACAGGTTATCTTTTTTTCTGCTATTGTCGTGTACCTACATGTAAAATGAAGGGAAGTAACTCGTACAGAATAATATTGTGACAAACAGTGATTTTTGTAATATATCAATGTATGTACATGTGTTTATAAATACCATATTGTCAGTGGGAGTTACCTGTGAACTCAGGTGTATAGGACATCTTGCTTGTCTAAGGCCGTGCATGACTGCGCGTGACCTCTAACCCCAGTGAAGATACCCTGACGGTAATAGCACCTATAAGCGGAGCATGGACAAGGAATGAGAAACAAGTTCTTCCGGATAACACAAGCTGAAATAATGACATGTTAGTCAAGACCTACAACCCAGGACTGTTGGAAGTAATTAAGAAGCCACCACCCAGTACCCTTACATAAGGGAATGGTGACTCAGGGGACAGCTTTGGGTGTGTGTAACCAGTACACTGTACTATCAGCTTTGGTAGGGCACACCTGGTTTTGGTAGCGACCAAAACAGCACGTCCCCTGTAACCAAGGTGTCTGTTTGGAGTCAAGCACCACGTATTAACGAAATAATGATAAGTAAATAATTTTTTTTTTTTATTTTTTTATTTTTCAAGAGTTTTTAATGTACATAACAATTACATCAACAAAACATCATCAAACATACAACATACAATATGCTCACTCACACATCACCATAATCTTGATTAAGTTGTATCATCATCATCATCATCATCATCATCATCATCACCACCATCATCGCCTGGCATTTTCATCAACACCCTTACTAACATCACAACACTACCCTTACACACCCACTCCTACACATACATCAATACTACACATAAAGATAAAGAGGAGAGAAAAAGAGAGAAAGAGAGAGAGAGGGGGGGGGAGAGAGGTGATCTGGGTTAGTAAAAATTGCAATAATCAGCGAAACAATAGGGACTCGAGTATAAAGAAAAATACCTGGTAAATAAATAAATAAATGAATACTATAAGGGTAAGCAAGGGGCCTACTATACTGTAAAGACAGAGAATACTAAAAGTAAATAAATTAATAAGTAACATAATGTTAGTCTAAATCAATGGATCGTTATATTGTACTTTTGCAGACCATCACGGGCCCTGAAGACATTTGTGACGGCGAGGAAAACCACAATACGAAACGCCAGAAAAAATGTGTGCATGTTTATTATTATCATCATAATTCTTGTTATTATTTTCTAATTTCAATTTTATGCCACATTGAATGCAAGACACTTTGTAACTCTTTCATCTACATATATACCTTGATCAGGTTGTGTTCTTTTCGTCGACCGTTGTCCTGCCTTATTTAATTATTCTTTCTTCTGTTTCTTAACTAGTAGAATGGACCTTTTCTAAAGCTTCATGAGTAGGTGCCCCTCGGTGTCTTTTGGATTTTGGAACCGATCGGGGAAAACAAAATGACTGCCAGGCCGCTATCTTGGATTCTGACATGAAAGATATTTTTCTCGAGATAGACGACACTAGTAGATGGATCTTCCATATTCGATTCCACGTGGCCCCTTGTTGACCTTTATATTCATAAACTGACCAGAAAAAAAACTGATGACATGGAACCATCGCTGATTTGACAGTTAAAGATACATATATTGCTATTAACATTTAATGGAATACGACTATATTTTATATGGTTAAAAGAAAATAAAGGAAAGAAGAGAATAGAAGGGGAAATATCCAACTTTAAAAAATAAATGAAGATCAAACATCTGTTGCAGCCAAGATGCCTATAACATCTCTTGTTTGTTTATGTTATAAAATAGCCTTTTGTGCCTAGATGTATATACTCTTCGATAAATAGATGTAAGGAATTTCCTTAAATAAACGACATTTTTCACAAAACAAAAGTTTCAAGAGTGAGCATCATTAATAACAAACGTCTGTTTATTATTTTAGAAAATGTCGATAAATTGTTTTTTATCAACTCGTCCTAAAATTCCTATAGTATGGTGGAGGTATATCAATGATTTGTTTTGATCCCGGCCCATTCACGAGAGGAGTTTTATCTCCTTGAATTCGATGACTTCATTTCACACTACTTTTATTTGAGGATACTTAAGGGGTTAGAAAACTTTGTAACTTATCCCTGACGAGCTGTGACTGGCGAAAGCGGTCGACAAGATGTACAAGTATACCATTTACTTAACTTTGGAGCTGGTTAATGTTGACAACAATTCTACTTACGGTGTCCTAATATCATAGAGTAACTCCCTGTTAGTATCCATTTCCCAGCATTCAAACTACTTAGGTGCACTACATACGTACTTGTAGACTGGACCGTTGTCAGCTCTTTCCCCTCTGTAGTAATTACAAATGTTATTTACGAAAATGAAAACAAGAGGCCCAGAGGGCCTGTATCGCTCACCTGGATCTTTATGACCAACATTACTATATCTGTCCATATGTTCCACGTTTAACACATTTTACCCCAGTGACCTTGACTATGGGTCTAACACAATCTTGAATTTTAATGGTTTCAAAATGCCCCGACAGCAGGCTAGAAGACGTCTAAGCACTTCAGATATGGACAGGGGCATTGGTATGATCCAGTCTGGTAGGACACAAATATTACATAAATTACATCATATACACAGAACATAAAACGTAATTTATGAAATATTTGTGTCTTGATAAAGGGGCAGGTTGCCTCGAAAATTTGACAATTCGCTTGTCCGTACTTATACTTCATTGATCAGATACATATAAACATTTGTAAGGATATCAATAAACGAGTACAATCTAACCCGGAAGACGCTACTATCGAGAAGTGTTTCAAACAGGCTGGGTTTGACTGAACGACTGAGAACTCACACCAAACCACAAACTCCCAAGTACAGGAAGACAGTGACAACCCTGATCCCGCAGGTTCCGATGACGACGACAACGATGATGATGATATCTCTTTAAGCGTTGTAAAAATGTCGCGTGAAATTTTCGGATGTGACTTTAAGGAGCTGTGTTCGATCGACGAAAATGTCAAAATCTGCGATGATAGTTTGACCAATTGGGATAACCCAGCCTCCTCAATACTGGCACGCATTCGAGAGGAGGACACGGAATGTGAATCAGAGGAGACAGATAATATCGAAAGTGAATGTGACAAGAGTGAAGTCGAACCAGTTATGTTAATGAACGATTTTATTGGTTCTTTGGCAAAAATGAACATGTTTGCAATACAGGAGGGCAAATTTGATATTCTGTCTTGTCATATGGAATTGACGATCTGATAGCAAATGAATGTATTGACAGCCGTTCGAAACAATTGGACATCCGCTCTTTTTTTCCAATAGATTCATGAAGACTTGTACATGCCTTCCTTTCAATTCTGTTCTTTTGTATTTATAGTTGTGACATAAAATAAAGATTGGTCTGTCTTCAAATTGCTTGCTAACAAGATAATAAATAATAACAGATGATGTTTTATATTTTATTATCAAACTGTATTCAAGTATTAATGTGCAAATTGCCGCAACTTGGGTTCGAAAATAAGGAACCTCAATTAAGAGGCCATCTCTTTATAAAGGCCACTTTCATAATTTCCCAACAGTGGCCGTTTAATACAGGTTAGACTGTATATACATATACACATAAGTGTTGAGGAAATTAATGTGTTTTAAGAGACCAGTAGAGATAGTCAAACTACCACACGACAGAGTTATAATACACCAGCCAATTGTGACGCGAAGATCCGATATATCTTGTTCACAAAATGTTCACAATTTTTTTATCAATGAGTATTTAGATGAGCAATAATGAAAAAACCCACAAAAACAATTGTGATAGAACACCACGAAAATTAGTCAACTTTTTATTGGAAACGATTGTTCTTAAGGAATGTCTAACAATGTTTTTAATTATAACAATATGACAGAGTTAAAGGTGACTATAACTTCACCAAGTACTGCTCATGTTAGATAAGCATTTTTAAAACGGGGATAATGAAATATCAAATTATTAAATGCAAAAATGAAAGTATTATTTTCAAGACAGAAAATTGGGGTCAACCTAAAAAGAAACATACAAATTAGAAGCCATTCTCATGGTAAACCAACAAGATACAAGTTTATGATATCCGCGAAAATCTTGGAAAGACCGGAACTTTCTCAAGGACTTCTACAATATATACTGTTTTTCTTTAGTGTTTGGTCGGTAATTGTATCGTCTACGTATATGTAGCCGGTGAAAATATCAACAATCGTTTTGCTTCTGTCTCGCTTGATTAAGCCTTAATATATGTAATTTAAGTGAAGGTAGCCATGCGTGGTACTCCATGTCTATTGAGCAGTCACTGTGTAGTATTCAGTTTAAGAATGGCTGTTACAGATGTCACGAGCGAAGAGGAGGGTCGCGCGGACTCCCCGAGGGAGACGGACAACACGGAAATCGAAGCTGCTGCCTGTGGGTGGGGATTTATAACCCCGTCCGTGTGTCAAAAATTTCGTACTCCAAGATGGCTATTATTCACCCTGTGCTGCACGTGTTTTGTCCAGGTAAGTTTAAACCTATGTACGTAAACATGGTGTAGATGTACATGTACTTTATCCGTCACGTCAGAATGGCAATATAGGTTATACAAAGTAGGCGTGTATACACTGAGAAATCTTGCGTGACAAAGACTTTCTTCGATAAGTCACTTAAGGTTATTCAAAACTGATCTGCTAAATGTATTGGTGACGGAGAATGTCTGATCTTTAATTTTACCTTCCTTTTAGCGTGACATTTTTTTCTTTATCAGACTAAATATATGTATAATTCAGTGATGCCAAGATAGAATGAGAATATACACTGCAACCCATTAAAGAACTGCGTTTTAAATTTTACCATACTTAAATAGTATATCAAAAACACCTCCCACAACAGGTTCACACTCGCTTACAAATTGTATACATTACGTGAAATGTTTTTACCTTTAACAATAGGATGTATACTTTTCACTTTTATTATTTAGCATTCTATAATGTAACACCAATAACGTTCAGAAATCGTGTAATGCATTTTAGATGTGTCGCTGGTCAAGGCAAAGGACCCACAAAGCGACGTAGACATACTAGTACAGATAAAATCTAATGAGAAAAGTTTTACGGGTTTGATAATTCACTGAACACTTGAAAAGCTGTGATCTCCATTCTAGTTAACTTGCTCAAACGTTCACAATCGAGGCACACTTGCATTAATTCCACAAGTTTTCATGTATCAATTAAATATTCAGATCAAGACCAGGATAATTACATATTGAGGGAGAGAACAGTTACATCAAATGAGAACAAGTTTACTCACGATACTTATGATTTTTAATTCAATTATAATCATTGAAAGGATTGTCATCGTCCCCGGTTACTGTACGAATATGTGGGAAGAATATGGTATGGGAGATGTTTTAAACTTGTATTCCTGTCTAAGGCTTATTTCCTCTCTTTGGCTTGATGGCACAGTTTTGGTAGTGATATATAAGGAGAACCTGAAGTGAAGAACCAACAGCAGAGGTTAAATTCGATGATCTATATTTGGCCGTGGTCAGGGTGTAAAGTGACCCTGGCCCACGTGACATATATATATATATATATATATAACCTCTCTGTCCGCGTCTCCAACCAGGGGTCCGAATAGGGAAAATTTAATAGAGAAAATAATAATAATTTACAAAATCCCATTTTGTGGCCTCTTGGCCCTGTAGATAATCACTACGCATGTTTAGTGTACCTGACCCCCCACAAAGTACCTGTCCAACCTGGTTCACCTGTAAACAAAGCGCAGTGTCAACACTTTGGTCCCACTGGGTGACCCTTCTAACTATTTGCCCTAATGTTATATTTCATTTGTTCAAGACTTTCTATATGTTTGTATGTTTTTAAATTTAAAAGAGTTACTGTCCTTGACATCTAAGAATAGCCGAATTTGTATTGACCTGAAATTAGTGAAAATTTGTGTAAGTGACTCTTTGTTATTGACTTTACTATAACCCTAATTTATCCTTAACAGATGTATGGTATAGCCAGCCATTCTTTTAATTAGTGAAAACATGCCGTTGAACAAAGACTATATACGACTAATATATAGAAACTTTGTCAAGTTCTGTTGAAAACTCGAGCAAAGGGTTCATTGTATGTACTATTTAAGCCTGAGCTGAACCTTGAAGATTATTTAACAAGTATCATTCCAAATTATTATAGGAAGTGACGACCAAATACAGAACAGCAAACAATCGTCTCCCTATTGAGGTTGGCAGATAGGTGATATTACAAGGAATGATAGAAAATGTCATTTATGTTGATGAATTCGGTGACGAATATCACAATTTATTAGTCAGTAATCATTTTACTGATCTTATATATTGATAGTCTGTTTCAACTATGTATAAGTTTGTAAGCTTGACAACAACTACAGATAACGATATACGTGTAAAGCTGTGTACATTTTTATATCATGTTCTGAAGCTCTGGGCAAACACCTCAAATCTTACAAAAATAATAATAAAATTCAAACTGTTTTTCGTATATCATATTAACTACGCCTTGTTATATAAATAATTTGTTGACATCCTCATTTGTCATGTATAATTATGATCTGAGGTTATATAAAAGAAGGACAAGAACGCATGCATTTGTACAGTCACGGTATATTGGTTATTTAGGCGCACCGAATCTGGATCATTTTTTTGTCACGGATGACGGATTTTTAGGTTACCCGAGCCAGAGTCTCAGGGTAACCTATTGATGTCACCTCTTTGAACATTTTCGACTTCTTTTGGAAAGTCCTTAACCGGAAATTAATAAAAACCTTCCATGACTAAAGACGCATCAACGCTATAAATCTTGTGGTCCCTGACTGATGGGCGGGGCCAAAAATAGATCAAATGGACTGAAATTTCAAAGATGTTCTACTGTCCTTGGATGAAGATTTTATATAGCAAAATTAATTTTTTGTGTAATTTCTTTTGAATCAAACTTGGTTAGAGGACTTAGCATTGGACAGCAGTTAATGTATGACACACTTTACATTTGAAATTATGTGTACTATTTAGTTAAAGTTATCTTAATTTTTTCACAAAATATTTTTTGACATGTTACAAGACCCAATGTGACTCAGGTGACCGTGATGGTCATTGGGGCCTCCTGTAATGTTTATTTGGGACCAGGTAGGGTGCACTCATATTTCCCTTACTTTTTAAACAGTAATTCAATACAAAGCATTTTACAGTTAAATAAGTCTTTATCTTTACTGTATAATTTGTTAATGTAATTCAAAACAAACAGATAGCGCCTCCTAGTAGAGTCAATGTAAACTCTGTTAACCAGGTAAGATCTTACAAGAACAGTGTCCACGTGTGAAAAAAAGATGTCTGCTGTTTTGTTTTCGATTTATACAATATAAAGGGTTGTAAATCACGATTTTGTTGACAGATTGGCAGCGAGGACAAAAGCATTACGAGAATTTAACTAGGTACAATTATTACGCCCTTTCTACAAGGAACATTACAACTGGTTTTCCAAGGTTGTTTAAAGTACACTCGAAGGATTGATGAGATTTGTAAAATTCTAGGTTACCTGAAAGATGTTGGTCTATATAATAGACTAGGACGTACCACTTTAATCTTTTGTGATAATATACATATTTCTGATTTTTGGCATTTGTCTTTTACTTTTTAGTTTGTTTGATGTTATTTCCTTTTTGGATCGAAGTGTGTTTTACCGGTTGATGGCCCTAATGACGTTAATGTATTGACGGGTCGTTAAGAATGTCATAACAATGATAATAATACCATTCGAAGGAATCTGCAGGTTTAGATTCAGATCATACTGACAACGGGGTAAGCTGTCTACATTTCAATATAGACGTCCAGTCGAATATTGACACTGTATACTTTTTATCCAAGAACAGGAAACTCTACCACAATTGATCATATCATAATTCAGTCTGATATTGAAGATCCGGTGAACTATTGTGAAGTGTTAGACGAGGATTCAAGTAATCCGTCAGAACACCATCCCATTGTATGTTCTCTACTGTAAACCGTTTCTGCTCCGTATTCTATAGGGTCAAATTACGAAAAATATAATTGGAAAAAGGCGAAAAGTAATAATTTTGTAATATTTTATAGAAACTGTCGTGAGGTAATTTTGAACTCCTTGATCATACCTCCCAGAAATACGACAGAGGATAATATTGAAGCCTATTGTGTCAATATAGTACGTTCTATTAAGGAAGCCGCGAACATAGCACTACCAAAAAGTACATATAAAAGTTACTTAAAACCGTATTGGAATACAGAATTAACACAACTACACGAGACCATGGCTGTCAAGAGACACAAATGGATTCTAGCGGGGTAGGAAGAGATCAAATGACACTAACTTTCTAGATTATAAAAATAGTAAAACAATTTTCCGTAGGAACCTTAGAAACGCTTTTGATAGCTGTATGTCTAATCAATATACAGAAATTGACAGGTGTAACGAGGTAGATGAAACACTATTTTGGCAGTTATATAAACGTAAAATACGTAAACGATCTCAGACTATTATTGAATTGGACGAGTTCTAAGGGAGCCCACCGAAATACTAGATGCTTGGACTTCACATTTTGAAATGATATTTCAAGATAAACCAGACGATTTTTTTCGATGTAAATTTTAACAATTTTATTCAGACGAACATTGATAAAATAGAAGCTCATGTAAAATTTGAGAAGGATAATTTCCTAACTGCTGCTGTTACTCCCGAAGAAATATCGATATTATGTAAAAGTCTTAAGTCCAATAAAGCTGGTGAACACGATGGTATTGTGTACGAACATCTTAAGTATGGTGGTCATAAACTGTCTGAACACATATCGAGTTTATTTAATTTGATAATTCAGAATGAATATATTCCAAAACAATGGAAAAGAGGTATTATCATTACTTTGCATAAAAGTCAGGGAAAAGCAAAGGACGATCTAAATAGTTATAGGGGTATCACGCTATTGTCTGTTCTGTTTAAATTATTTTAAATTTCCATATCGAACAGGATAAACTCCGTTATATGTTCATATCCCAACAGACAGCAGTCTGCTTACCAAAATAAACTTTGTGGTCTATGTACATCTTTTAACTTACAGGAATGTATCAACTACAATTTAGAAAATGGATCAAATGTTTATGTCGCTTTTTTAGACAGCAATAAGGCGTTTGACTCAGTATGGCACTCTGGTTTACTGTTCAAAAGACATGAAATGGGACTTGCTGGGAAATTGTGGGTTATTCTTAAGAAAATGTACACTCAGGTAGAAAGTTCCATATTGTTTAATGGTTTAACATCAAAAAGTGTCAAGATGGAGAGAGGAATCTTACAAGGGGGATCTTTGTCAGCAAAAATGTATTAATTTTTTATTAATGAATTATCAAATGAAATTGAAGTATGCGGTAAAGGAGCTGTAATTATTGATGTAAAAGTAAATATACCTCGTCAGGCGGATGACTGGTGCCTTGTAAGTACGAACTTTCATAGTTTACAAGAAATGGTCAACAAATGCGAAAACTACAGTAAGAAATGGCGTTTTACATTTTCCTCTACCAAAAGTAAAATTGTATTATTTTTTGATAAACGTACTTTGCATAATGTACAAAACATTTACCTTTATAAATGTGTTTTACCGGTAGTTGAAGAAATTAAACAAATTACAAATTGTAAAAGAAATTCATTTGAAAGAACTAATAGAACATGTTGTAAGTTAAAAACTGGTATTATGTCTCTCCTTAGGTCTGGTGCTCACCCTTGTGCCCTGAACCCTCTTACAGTTTCTAAGTTAATTAAGATTAAAGTATACCCATCCGCTTTATCTGGATGTGGACTGTGGCTACTCTCCAAAACTGAAATATTGCTGCTAGAAAGAGCTCAAAATTTCATAGTGAAATGTATACAAGGCCTGGGGAAAAGAACCAGAACAGACATGTGTGTCGCATTGTTGGGTTGGAGTAGTATCGAATCATACATTAACATAAAGAAATTGTTATTTTTAGGACGAATATATGATATGGATAGTAGTATGCTTGTATACAGGATATTTATTACGAGATTCTTTATGTTTACTGTAAATACTAGAACGCAGCAAGGATTCATACCTGATATTATATGTATTTTAAGAAAATATGCTTTGTATGATACCTTTGTAAATTATATAAAATCAGGTTCTTATCCTGGAAGACAACAATGGAAAAAATGGAAAGTGTATATAGATTAGAAGAACATGCCTGGTCAGAACGTATGTCGAACGATGCTGATTTTTATAGATTTAAGTTCATTCACCTTAAGAGTGAACCGCATTACCTGTGGAAATAGGCGGTAAAATATCCTCAGTATTATAAATCCATAAAATGTATTATAATATATTCACCAGTGTTCGTCAATTGAATCCCACTGTATTGTAGCATTGCTGTGGTATACTATATATTGATGTTATAACACATACAATTCTGCATTGCAATGCAACGGATGAGATCCGTGATAAATTTTGGTGACATTGGTGTGTGGAGATGGGCATGGATTTTATCGCATATTTACACAGTTCATCAGATTTTGACTTAACAAATATTTTATTAGGTGGTACAGTGAATTATGGAATGTCCAAGGATGAGAAGGAATATTTCAGAATAGCATGCTTAAGATTTTTCTATCGAATGTTTAAAGACTACGAACCGATCAATTACAATTAACTTCTCATTGTACATATACCTTTATTGCATGAGATTGTAATGGTTTTTTTCTTTATACGCTGATAGTATGTTAATTATTTGATTCTATTTATGTATCTTCAATTTCGGAGGAAATAAAGAGAATAATAGGTGTGTAGTCCGGGGCTCCTTCGGTAATTGTCAGGAAGAAGAGAAACAGACCAGTCTATGTTGTCTTGTCTGTGTCCTTCAGATAAGACACTTTATCGAAATTTCTCTGGGTGACAAGCGGCGGCCTCCCTATGTTGTTCAGTGCGATAGCCACCCGCTACTATAAGGGCCATTCACGTCAAAATGACCCTAGCTGTTTCTGGGCCGATTAACCAATCATAACACGATTGAATACGAGATATTTTGGAGTATACATGTACATATGTATCGACTACAGGATATTGTCAAATGCCGAGTGGAATATTCTTCTTCTTCTTCTTCTATTCTTCTTTGTATATTTGTCAGACAGTTGGGTTGTTATGTGACGGAGAGAGGGCGCCCTCTCGCGGTGCCTCACCAGGGCAAGTTTGATTGACTCTAACTTGTAGCTTGAGACAGTGCTGTCTTCCAGCTTGTTCCAGTTAATGGCTGTACCAAAAACAGTTCAGTTTTACTATTGTTTGTTACCGATGATGTCACGATGTTGGATGTTTCACAGTTCTCGTGTATTTTGGCCTTGATTCTACGTTTTTCGATTTTGGAACGTAATTAGCTATGCTGGCGGTATTGCTGCCCTTCAACTGTTTATAGAAAAATATTAGACATTGGTGTAGTTTTATTAGTACTCATGATACACAATACATAGGAAACGGATAATATGACTTTGTTTTACTATTTTACAGAATATGGCCATTAGCGGGTTTGTTAATGTGATCATATCCTCCATCGAGAGACGTTACGAACTAACTAGCGCTGAATCAGGACTGGTCGCAAGTGCCTACGACATCTCCTCTGCCATCATGATACTTCCGGTCAGTTTCCTAGGAGGTCTAGGTACGAAACCACGTTACATCGGGTTAGGGTTTCTTCTGTTCGGACTGTCCTGTGTCCTTTTTTCCTTCCCTCATTTCCTGTCTGGATTGTATGATTATGGAGAAGATGACGGCGGACTTTGTATACCAGGAAGCAGCGCTACGTCATCTTGTGAAGATCAGACGACGTCACTATCTAATTATAAGGTAAGCTTTCGGTAGCTGAGTAGTATGGCAGACAGAGACAAAACGAGTCATATTGAGATCAGTTGTGTGAAATGATCCCGTACTTACAACAACAAAGTTTACTTTTCCATATTTAGATATATCAGTTAATGAAACGCTCTACTTTTCCATATTTAGATATATCAGTTAAAGAGACGCTCTACTTTTCCATATTTAGATATTCAGTTAAAGAGACGCTCCACTTTTCCATATTAAGATATATCAGTTAAAGAGACGCTATATTTTCCATATTTAGATATATCAGTTAAAGATACGCACTACTTTTCCATATTTAGATATATCAGTTAAAGAGACGCTCTACTTGTCCATATTTAGATATATCAGTTAAAGAGACGCTCTACTTTTCCATATTTAGATATTCAGTTAAAGAGACGCTCCACTTTTCCATATTTAGATATATATTAGTTAATGAGACGCTCTACTTTTCCATATTTAGATATATCAGTTAAAGAGACGCTCTACTTTTCCCTATTTAGATATATCAATTAATGAAACGCTCTACTTTTCCATATTTAGATATATCAGTTAATGAGACGCTCTACTTTTCCATATTTAGATATATCAGTTAAAGAGACGCTTTACTTTTCCATATTTAGATATTCAGTTAAAGAGAGGCTCTACTTTTCCATATTAAGATATATCAGTTAAAGAGACGCTCTACTTTTCCATATTTAGATATATCAGTTAAAGAGACGCTTCACTTTTCCATGTTTAGATATATCAGTTAAAGAGACGCTATATTTTCCATATTTAGATATATCAGTTAAAGATACGCACTACTTTTCCATATTTAGATATATCAGTTAAAGAGACGCTCTACTTTTCCATATTTAGATATTCAGTTAAAGAGACGTTCTACTTTTCCATATTTAGATATAGCAGTTAAAGAGACGCTCCACTTTTCCATATTTAGATATATCAGTTAAAGAGACGCTCTACTTTTCCATATTTAGATATATCAGTTAAAGAGACGCTTCACTTTTCCATGTTTAGATATATCAGTTAAAGAGACGCTAAATTTTCACTATTTAGATATTCAGTTAAAGAGACGCTCTACTTTTCCATATTTCGATATATCAGTTAAAGAGACGCTCCACACATTCATATTTAGAGATATCAGTTAAAGAGACGCTCTACTGTTCCATATTTAGATATATCAGTTAAAGAGACGCTCTACTTTTCCATATTTAGATATATCAGTTAAAGAGACGCTCCACTTTTCCATATTTAGATATATCAGTTAAAGAGACACTCCACTTTTTCATAGAAGTAAATCATACATTATTTAAGAGTGTGTTAAAAATCATGTGTTCTAGTCCCCATCTAGATTTTGACATTTCTTTTGTCCATACTTATCTATTTTCCTCTGTCGCTTCCTATGTTCCAACGGTTTAGGCCTTTAGCATCATTGAACTTTGAAATGAATGCTGACGAAACAGTTGTATGATGTAGCATCACTGACGAGTCCTAGAAGGACGAAACATCTGTATGATGTAGCATCACTGACGAGTCCTAGAAGGACGAAACATCTGTATGATGTAGCATCACTGACGAGTCCTAGAAGGACGAAACATCTGTATGATGTAGCATCACTGACGAGTCCTATAAGGACGAAACAGCTGTGTGATGTAGCATCACTGACGAGTCCTAGAAGGACGAAACATCTGTATGATGTAGCATCACTGGCGAGTCCTATAAGGACGAAACAGCTGTATGATGTAGCATCACTGGCGAGTCCTATAAGGACGAAACAGCTGTGTGATGTAGCATCACTGACGAGTCCTAGAAGGACGAAACATCTGTATGATGTAGCATCACTGGCGAGTCCTATAAGGACGAAACAGCTGTGTGATGTAGCATTACTGACGAGTCCTATAAGGACGAAACAGCTGTGTGATGTAGCATCACTGGCGAGTCCTATAAGGACGAAACAGCTGTGTGATGTAGCATCACTGACGAGTCCTAAAAGGACGAAACAGCTTTTTTTATGTAGTTTGGCTATTTTTTAGCTCTGTTAAAATTCATTATAAATTTTATTTAAGAAGTGCAATTATCATATGTGTCTTTTTTTTACAATATTTCAACACTGTGAGCAGTGCCACAAAAAAGCTATATTTCAAATTAATTAACTCTAATCCACTTTATTAATTATTAATTAATTCATATCAAAAGTGGAATACAACAAAGTAAATTATGCTAGTTTGATAATTGCTAACAACAACATTTCCATCACGTCACAGAGTTAGCAGTGTAACAGGAGAAATTCTTGATATGTTCTCTCTGAAGATTTGTTTCTCGGAGTTGTCGAAAGGTAAAACAAAATGTGTTATTCATAAAGTTTTATATCCTTCAATGACGGATGAAGGACAAATACAAGTATCTTAAGATGTAAGTGATATTCCTAGAGAGATCAAGAAAATAACAACTGGTAGCCTGTCGATTGTGTCTAATTCTATACTTCTGTCGAGAAGTGGTGGAAGTCGCTGGTGGACGTTAGATTAGTCCCCGAGATTTGCCTTTACTTACATGCCAAGTTTTAATTCATTAAATCAGCATTTTAATATTGATATTTTGACGAATCTAAATCTTTTTTTCAGTAGACTCCAATGTTTAAAAAAATTAGGCCTTTAACATTACTGACGAGTTTTAGAAGAATGAAACAGCTGTATGATGTAGTTTGATTCTCTACTGTATCTTATTACAATTTTTTATTCACAATGCTACATTTCCTTGTGTGTGGATATTTTTTGCGCAATTTTCAAGTTTTCAAGAATTTCGTTGATACTTTTAGACACTGGTCATTTCTAGAAAATGACGAAGATCTTAATGACGAATTATTTGCGTTACTTTAGACATGGATTATTATTTAGATACAAATTCTGACTTGATTTGTATTGATGTATTTTGCAGTACATGTTCTACGCGGCAATGGTCCTGATGGGAGCTGGCACTGCGCCCCTGTACACTCTAGGGACAGCATTTCTAGAGGAGAGTGTCCCTGTACGATCTGCCTCTTTCTACTTAGGTAAAACAGCAATGTAATGACTGGCAGGTATTTTAAATGTCTTAGATATATCGTTACATATATGTTTAGGTATTTACTACAGTGCGGTAACGCCCTCTACAAATGATTGCCACGACCTATGTCTATGTATCTACAATAAATGTGGCGCTCTTCTCTTTTAAAAATGTCGTCTGTGATTGCAGCACCCTCAATAAAATTCGTTACGTTTTCTGTTCAGGTATCGACTTTATAGAGCCCTCTATAAACATCGTCACGTTCTATATTGAGATATCTACTATACAGCGCCTCTATAAACATCGTCACGTTCTAAATTTAGGTATCTACTATACAGCACCCTCTATAAACATCGTCATGTTTTATATTTATATATCTACTATACAGCGCCCTCTATAAACATCGTCACTTTCCATATTTAGGTATCTACTATACAGCACCCTCTATAAACATCGTCACGTTCTAAATTTAGGTATCTACTATACAGCACCCTCTATAAACATCGTCACGTTCTAAATTTAGGTATCTACTATACAGCACCCTCTATAAACATCGTCACGTTCTAAATTTAGGTATCTACTATACAGCACCCTCTATAAACATCGTCATGTTCTATATTTAGATATCTACTATACAGCGCCCTCTATAAACATCGTCACTTTCTATATTTAGGTATCTACTATGGTTGCAGTGTCCTCTATAAACATCGTCATGTTTTATATTTAGATATCTACTATACAGCGCCCTCTATAAACATCGTCACTTTCTATATTTAGGTATCTACTATGGTTGCAGTGTCCTCTATAAACATCGTCACGTTTTATATTTAGATATCTACTATACAGCGCCCTCTATATACATCGTCACGTTTTATATTTAGGTATCTACTATAGAGCGCCCTGTATAAACATCGTCATGTTCTATATTTAGATATCTACTATACAGCGCCCTCTATAAACATCGTCACGTTTTATATTTAGGTATCTACTATAGAGCACCCTGTATAAACATCGTCACGTTTTATATTTAGATATCTACTATACAGCGCCCTCTATAAACATCGTCACGTTTTATATTTAGGTATCTACTATAGAGCGCCCTGTATAAACATCGTCATGTTCTATATTTAGATATCTACTATACAGCGCCCTCTATAAACATCGTCACGTTTTATATTTAGGTATCTACTATAGAGCGCCCTGTATAAACATCGTCATGTTCTATATTTAGATATCTACTATACAGCGCCCTCTATAAACATCGTCATGTTTTATATTTAGATATCTATTATACAGCGCCCTCTATAAACATCGTCACTTTCCATATTTAGGTATCTACTATGGTTGCAGTGTCCTGGGACCAGCTATGGGATACATATTAGGTGGTCTACTGTTGAATATATATGTGGATTTTGATACGGTGGATACTGCCAGGTAAACTTAAGATCTATTTTTATAACACGTATCAGTTCCAAAAATAGAACCGTAAGATTTTCGGTTCCTTACATACCTTCCCGATGACATTTTTTCGTCGGTAAGAAAGAATTTATTTCAAAGAAGAATATATGTTGTAACTTAAATCTCAATGTACATTCTGTAAGAATATTTATCTATATACTGTACAAATTCGTTATAATAAGTGCTTCTTGCAAACATGTTCGCAAGTTTATCTTGTTTTGTATATTTTAATCACATTACTAGATATAGTAATGATCCTTTGTCTTAACTTGTAAAAGATTCAATAAAAATTAATAATTCTGATATGAAATTTCTGAACCTGACAGAAAACTCATGTAAGATCCTTTAAGCTCAGATAAGTTCTGATAAAAACCGTTGCTGGAATCATGCATGTTGTATATATACACACTACATTGGAATTCTGTGACGCAACTGACGAAGGAAGACAATTTTTGACTCGTGGCCTGTCCGGGCCTCGAATTCACGATCTAAGGCACCAAATCGCCAAGCCAAAATATTCTACAACTGGCTAACCACTACACCACCACGACATCACACGACAAACCAATGCACTGACACTGAGCACAATTTATAAATGTACAAAAGTAGTTAGCGTTCCAGTGACATGAAGCTTTAGCTGAAGAAAATCGCCAAGTTTTGGTCTTCACGAAAAAAAACCCAAGAATTTGTGAAGTTAACACTATAGTTTGTTAATGTAATGAAGTAACAAGCACAAAAACCAAATACATTTCACAGACCACAGTCCTTACACAATGTTCATGATGTACGAATAGCTGTGGTGATTGTAAGTGATAAAGTTAACTTAGTTTTTAAATTTTGGCTTATTGATGTTATAACAAGATTGTTTTATGTTAAAAAAAAACAAAAACAAACAAACAAAAAACTCAATCTATAGTAAAGTCTCCGGCTTACAAGATATCCTATAAGTCAGGCTTACAGAGGCAAAGAAACATTTTTTGAAATATATATATCACAGATTTCAACATATTTATGTATCTGACGTTTGATTCTAGCGTGACAATTGATTCAACAAGCTCACGGTTCGTGGGGGCGTGGTGGGTAGGCTTTGTTGTGTGTGGAGTATTATCCGTCCTCATCAGCGTTCCTTTATCGGCTTTCCCTGCTGCACTTCCAGGTAAATCTTTAAAATAAGTTCTAGTCAACACACTTCCAGGTAAGTCTTTAAAATAAGTTCTAGTCAACACACTTCCAGGTAAGTCTTTAAAATAAGTTCTAGTCAACACACTTCCAGGTAAGTCTAGTCAACACACTTTAGTTCTAGTCAACACACTTCCAGGTAAATAAGTTCTAGTCAACAACACACTTCAACACCAGGTAAGTCTTTAAAATAAGTTCTAGTCAACACACTTCCAGTCTTTAAAATAAGTCAACACACTTTAAGTCTTTAAATAAGTTCTAGTCAACACACTTCCAGGTAAGTCTTTAAAATAAGTTCTAGTCAACACACTTCCAGGTAAGTCTTTAAAATAAGTTCTAGTCAACACACTTCCAGGTAAGTCTTTAAAATAAGTTCTAGTCAACACACTTCCAGGTAAGTCTTTAAAATAAGTTCTAGTCAACACACTTCCAGGTAAGTCTTTAAAATAAGTTCTAGTCAACACACTTCCAGGTAAGTCTTTAATTAGTTAGACTCCTTGTTTAGCGTTTTTCTTAAGATTGGGTAAATATTCGTGATGGTTTTCTTCTTTCTCGGAAAATAACACACGTTTTGAGCAAGGGAAAGCAACCTACACATGACAAAGGGATCACTGACAATGGTTACACATCTAATGCTAAGACAACTCACTGGCTGTATAGAGAGTTCGATTTCCTAAAGTACTTGTAGATTCATCACAGGGATACTACACATATATATTTTGTTGACAATTGTTTTATATTACATAAATAAATACAGTCTAACCTGTATTAAACGGCCACTGTTGGGAAATTATGAAAGTGGCCTTTATAGGGAGGTGGCCTCTTAATTGAGGTTCCTTATTTTCGAACCCAAGTTGCGGCAATTTGCACATTGATATTTGATAATATAAGATAATCGATGGATTATGCTTACATGTACCTTAATAAGCAGCACGAATCATTCTTTCGTAGTGTGATGGCATACAAGAAAATAACACCTTCTATTACAAACTTAGAGTTAGGTACAGTAGAGCCAAAGAATTATACTGCATCATACAGATGTTTCGTCCTTCTAGGACTCGTCAGTGGTGCTAGGGGCCTTTAAGTTGAAGCCAAGGAGACGACTGAGGAAAATACATTGTGATAAAAAAAAACCCAGACAAAACCCTAGATAGGGACAGATAATTAGATGATTTTTGGAATTTCCATATATCAGCTGATTTACGAACAACATTAAGTACATGTGTGTTCGGAACCGTACAAACATTCGAATGAATTAAAACGTGACATGTAGGTTACGGCAAACTCGATGACTAAAAGTCCACCAGCAGTATCTACCACCTACTGTCTGGAAGATTGTACAAATGACACACAGGTGTATGTTGATATTTTAGCTATTATGGGCGACTTATGACTAGTTAAACTGTATTTTGTTCCGTTTATGAACGTAGCAAACATATTGAATACACATAGATTAGAAATTCGCTAACAAGGTCTATGTACTACCACTTATTCGTCTCCTTATTCTCAAATTGGCGACAGGACGGTCCTATTTCAAATATAATGATAGTATATTTTGAACACAAAAACAAACGTACATCTTCTATGTGCATATATGTATATATACAAGCTTTGAGCTTTGCTTAAACCCAACAAGTGCTCTATACATATATAAGAATGTACCGTTTAGCGTTGTGTTTAAGTGTATTCTTTTCGTGTTGAAAATTAAATCATGATTTACCTCAGTTGCTTTCTTAAAATCATAAATTAAAGAAATAAAATCAAAAAAGAAATATACATTTACTTGTCAAGAAAAACTCTGCTCCTTGACACGGGTTCGAACTTGTAACCCTGTGACTAGGCAACCATCCCCTTCTATCTTATCAACTACTGTTTGCTGCGACTGTCATCTGATTTTTTTGTTCCAGACGAAATATATTTTATATTCGACCCAACTCTTCTCTTTTTCAACAGCCATGGTGCTAGTGTGTACCATGTTTTTAAGATGAAGTTCGTAAGAGTAAAATTTGGTGTCTTAACGCGCTGTATGTCAAAATTACAGTTGAAGATGGAAAACCCTCACAACTTGATGCTTATTGCTGAAAGTGATAATTAGTAAAAAATTCATGTACTATTTATATCATTTACAATCAACACACCAACACATTTACCTACTATGAACTGAGTAATACCTGAAAGTCCTATTAAGTCTTCAGAGATGCCGAAATGATACAAATAAGTTATGAATTTTGGTTACGTTAGGTCGTTTCTGTTATAATTATATTGAAAGTATTTTCCTTACACGCAATCAGCCCATTGTTTAAAGAAATCGTCTACTACATTATTGATATAGAACGTTTTTATTTTGTTCCCGCATGCAGATGATGCTATTAATTACAGGTATATATACAGGGTATTGATATCACAGTATAATTTACAATTGTTTGTTTACGTTGTAGACGTTGTAGGTTTGGCGGTGTGGTGTAATTAGCCCAGGTGTGTCACTAACGATTACATTTGTCCTACACATGTGATTGTGTATCTATCAGGAACTTTTCTGAAGATTTTATTCTAAAATCCCTCGTGTTTGTAATTCGTGCTAGATATATTCCTGTGAAGACTTTCGAATGCTGTTTTGTTTCTTCTAAAACTAATATTATAATTTCATAGGTTCAGCAAAGTATTTAGCCGAGCGCCAGACGGAAGTTTACAAAAACAAGGAAGTGCTTCCAAACGATATTGGACGTAATTCTCGCGTCTCTCATATCGGAAAATCTCTGAAAATTTTGTTAACCAACCCTACCTATATGTTCCTGAACTTAGCCTCAGCGACAGACGGTACGTACACATATATATATTAGTATCACATTTACATCAAATTTCTAACATCTTTGTTCACTGTATTGTAAGAAATGTACATCTATAATGTTCATTATATATCTGTAAATTCTAGAAATGACATTAGTAAATAAAATTGTTTCTTAAGATTAGATGTCACAAACGACACACAAAAGTGAATAAAACGGTTCAATTCAAATCTAGAATTAAATCGAACTGCATTATACAGCTGTTTCGTCCTTGTAGGACTCGTCAGTGATGCTACATCACACAGCTATTTCTTCCTTCTACGTCTCGTTAGTGATGCTACATCACACAGCTATTTCTTCCTTCTACGTCTCGTTAGTGATGCTACATCATACAGCTGTTTCGTCCTTCTAGGACTCGTCAGTGATGCTACAACATACAGCTGTTTCGTCCTTCTAGGACTCGTCATTAATGCTACATCATACAACTGTTTCGTCCTTCTAGGACTCGTCATTAATGCTACATCATACAACTGTTTCGTCCTTCTAGGACTCGTCAGTGATGCTACATCATACAGCTGATTCGTCCTTCTAGGACTTGTCAGTGATGCTACATCATACAGCTGATTCGTCCTTCTAGGACTTGTCAGTGATGCTACATCACACAGCTGTATCACCCTTCTATAATTCGTCAGTGATGCTACATCACACAGCTGTTTCGTCCTTCTAGGACTTGTCAGCGATGCTACATCAAACAGTCTAAATAAAAATATATTTGTATATATCAATAAACATTTCATACAAACTACATGTAAAGACATACCTTTTACATTTTTCATGTAGGAATACTGTTGGTTGGTTTGTCAACATTCATTCCAAAGTTCACGGAGATACAGTTCGGACTTCCCTCCTCTACTGCCGCCTTGTATGTTGGTAAGTATATAAGTTTAACTGAACTACAATTCGGGCTGCCCTTACTTTGGTGCCATCTTGCATGTTGTGGTTTATTTTAATATCAAAAAGATGCCTGGTTTTGTAAGTTGTGTAGCTGTGTTTTCTAGTTTAGAGAGTACACGAATGCTGGTTTTGTAGGTGGTGTAGTCGTGTTGTGTTTTTCTGGTTTAGAGAGTACTCGTCGGATTTTTTGTAGGTGTTGTAGTTCTGTTTCTCTGGTTTAGAGAATACTCCTATGTTGTTTTTGTAGGTGGTGTAGTCGTGTTGTGTTTCGCTAGTTTAAAGAGTACTCGTCGGTTGTTTTTGTAGGTGTTGTAGTTCTGTTTCTCTGGTATAGAGAGTACTCCTCTGTTGTTTTTGTAGGTGTTGAAGTTGTGTGGTGTTTTCTAGTTTAGAGATTACGCGACCGTTGTTTTTGTAGGTGCCGTAGTTGTTCCTGGAGGAGCAGGTGGTACCCTGCTGGGAGGCTATATCATAAAGAGATTCAACTTGCGTTTGAAGAGGATTCTACAGACCTGCATGGCTCTAGTCATCGGCAGCCTTCTTTTTTCACTCGTTTTCATTATGAGCTGTCCCAGCGTCCCATTCGCTGGTGTCAATATTCTGTACGGAAGTACAGACCTACAAAGGTCAGTGTTAAACAATGTCAGTCACCTCCACCCCTTCATTGATGGCTGAAGTTTCTTTTTTTAAGAAGACAATGGAAACGAATTTTCTGACTATACACGTCAAAAACAAATTGAAAATAAAACAAACAAAAAGATTCGTAAACACAACGTAATTGCGAATCATATAAGTTGTACCTTCATGTACGTTTTTTATTATTTGTCATAGCATTAAGCTGCTGACCCAGTGATTCTTTAAATTCCAGTGTATAAAACACGTTTTTCCTTTTCTTTGTATGTGTGTGAGGAGAGGGGGGGGGGGGGGCGCGCGCGCGCGCGCGCGCGCGCGTGTGTGTGTGTGTGTGTGTGTGTGTGTGTGTGTGTGTGTGAGGATGTGTGAGGTGTATGTGTGTCCACACATTTTTTTTAATTGCCTATAGACTTGAAACATTCTTTTTAATCAGAGTATTATGTTGAATATTAGCTATATGCATACTTAGTGCTCATTGCGATGTTATCTGCCATTGTTAACCATTACAGTACTTCATTCCTGGGAAGTTTTGTGACGGACACCTGTCAGACCAACTGTGGGTGTAGCCAAGAGAAGTTCAGTCCTATATGTGGTCAGGACGGGTTGACCTACTTTTCACCTTGTCATGCTGGCTGTCAGACAATCGTCAATGTCGGCTCAGATATGGTCAGTATTTCACCGTAACGTTCAGGACTTTTAGGATTGATTTTGTGTGGGAAGGGGACTAATAGGGGTAGGGTATTGATAAATAAACGTAATATTTTAAAGATTAATTTCCGTGATTTTAACCTTTTTTTCTTCCCTTGATATTGACATTTCTTTCAATCAATTTGGATTTTCCTAAATTGCCTCATAGGTTTCAAATCTAGGCCTTCGGCACCACTGACGAATCTTAGAAGGATGAAACAGCTATATATTGCAGTTTAGTAATTCTTTGGCGCTACTGAATGTAGTTCTAAATTTGTACTGAAAGGTGTTGCTCTCATAGATCTGATCGCTTCAACAATATTTTGAGACTTGCGTTCATATTGCCATCAGTATTATTTTATCAAAAAGTAAAATAGCAATCGCCACTCATCAGGTCAATATTTATAGTTTCGACGCTGTTTCAGAATATATAAACAAAATACTCCGGATTATAAGACTGGGGATTTCACGACGGACAAACGCATAGTAATATACGTTGCCCATATCCATTCCAACTACCAACAACCTCATTCTTTGACGGGTTTTGTAAAAAATTATACAAAGGTCAATTTCAAGTATATTAAGGCATCGTTGTGTTTCACATTCTCAAGGTCAAGGCCAAGGTCACCCTATCGAAATTCAGCAATATATTCAATCTAAACACTAAGTAATTTCACTCTTTCGTGTAATTCGGTCAAGGTTTACGCAGCGATCAAGTATAAATATACTTTGAACATTCTTGTCTCGGGGGTCAAGGTCAAGGTCACTGGTGCTTTATGTATAGAAAATATTGACTAGATCAATTCAAACAATTAACAACTTCGTTTTTTCTTGGTTTCATTAATTTTGGTCAAACTCATACAGATATCAAGTATGGGTATCCTTCAGACATCGTGGTGTTTCCTATCCCCAATGTCAAGGCCGAGATCACCTTTGCTATTTATAGAAAACAATCTACAGATTCAACTAAACACCCGGCGAGTTGATTCGTTCATGGAATGCGGTATGCAAAGATCAAATATGAGTATGACTTGGTTGTGTTTCAGCAGTCCAATGTCAAGGTCTTAGCGACGGGGGCATTTATGTCTTACCGTGATTTATTGTTTCATATTAAAGGAATGAAGTAGTTTGTATCAACACAACGTAAACATCCACTGTTTCAAACAGCCAACACAACGTCCACAACGTTACTTTTATCCACTATTTCATACAGCCAACACAAACGTTCACAACGTTACATATATCTACTGTTTCATACAGCCAATATAACGTTCACAACGTTACATATATCTACTGTTTCAAACAGCCAACACAACGTTCACAACGTTACTTTTATCCACTATTTCATACAGCCAACACAAACGTTCACAACGTTACATATATCCACTATTTCATACAGCCAACACAACGTCCACAACGTTACTTATATCCACTGTTTCATACAGCCAATACAACGTTCACAACGTTACATATATCTACTGTTTCAAACAGCCAACACAACGTTCACAACGTTACTTATATCCACTGTTTCATACAGCCAACACAACGTCCACAACGTTACTTATATCCACTGTTTCATACAGCCAATACAACGTTCACAACGTTATTTTTATCCACTATTTCATACAGCCAACACAAACGTTCACAACGTTACATATATCTACTGTTTCAAACAGCCAACACAAACGTTCACAACGTTACATATATCTACTGTTTCAAACAGCCAACACAAACGTTCACAACGTTACATATATCTACTGTTTCAAACAGCCAACACAACGTTCACAACGTTACTTATATCTACTGTTTCAAACAGCCAACACAACGTTCACAACGTTACTTATATCCACTATTTCATACAGTCAACACAAACGGTCACAACGTTACATATATCCACTATTTCATACAGCCAACACAAACGTTCACAACGTTACATATATCCACTGTTTCAAACAGCCAACACAACGTTCACAATGTTACTTATATCCACTGTTTCTACCAGCAATATCAGATTTCGTGACAAATTTAGATATTTGAGGTCCAGGTAAGCGCTGGCACATGAACCATCGGAGCGGGTACCTGTCTTTTATGCAATCATCGAGATTGCAGGTGGTAGACGCTGCCGATTAGTCCTCGGGGTTAGCCGTAACCTGCGTGTCACGTGTTTATTCTTTCGAATAGTGACACATATCACAATGTACACATGTACATGACTTTGATTACAATATCTATTGAACTATGGACTAGTTCAACTCCAATTCTGCATAAATAGATATCTCTTTCTATCAACTTGGATTTTCCGCGTAATTTCTCTAACTCTACATTTATATTAAGAGGTGCTATTCACTTGTGTGTAGTTTGTAGAATCTTCTGAATGCCTATTTCATAATTGTTTTATCAATATTTATAAACACGAGAAGAACACAAGGATGAAAAAATCTTTATAGTGCACTATTCCGTTTCTAATACAACGACACGATCGTCACGATCCTATTACTATATAGACTATTCCAACCAAATAATTTTATGAGGCCACAATGAAAAAAACCAATTTAGTTTTTGATGAATGTGGGTTTTGACACATAAAGTACTAAATACAATATTGCACAGATTTTCGTTCCGGTTATCGTATCACGCAGTTTGTGTTCAATCATGTCCACACACTTTCGACCATACCTTGGTACCAACAACTGTTAAATATTCAAATATATTAGTTTGACCTTTATTATCAACTTATGATTATTGATGAATTGCTGCTAATACCTTTAAGTGTCAAGATTTATAATATAAATGATAGAATTTATACCATATCATATTTAGAGACATTTCTGATATAAATAATAACTCGAAGTGAATGATACATGTAAGTTAAAGTAAAAATTCAGGATCCCTTGTTTACCATGCGATCAGATTTTTTTTGTACGTTTGACTCGTCTTCCAGAAACTACATAGAACTTTAGTTTTTTGTTCATTTTCAGCAATATTCGAACTGTACATGTGTGGAGAACAACGCTACAGAACACGACGCAGAGATGCACCAGTGCAAATCTGAATGTAATCTGCCGTTGTTTATGGTGCTTTTCTTCGCGGCTGTTTTGCTCACATTTGTCAGCTCCATTCCTTACCTAACCGCTACCATCAGGTAAAATAGTTTTATCAAATGTACGAGTTGATTAAGATCTCATCCGGAAATATTCTATTGCATTGTGACATTACTTACTTGGATTGACCAAGGTTTACATTGCGGGTGTCGTCAATGAAGTTGAAAACGCTTACTCTTCTGAAACACCTGGTCTTATCCCCTTTGTACTTTTTCATGACTTTCCCTGTACATCTTTATTTTGTTCATATTTTGCTCCAGTTTTATGGAATTGTAATCTATGATGCTCATTAGCGTGCTTAGTGGTTTCGTTATATATTGACTTTATTATTCCTTTGAGAACGTTACATTTCTTACTTAGGTTGACCAATTTGATAAAATAGATGTCTGGATGTCATAAAGCAGGAGACGATTTCCCCTCTGGATCAATTGGTCTTATTCTCCTGATTTTTTTTTTTTTTTTTTAGTCGTTATAAATCATTTTTGTTCATATTTCGTACAAGTTTTATCAAGCTTGTGTTTGAATTCAGATTCTATTAACATGTATGTATTTTCGTTATTAGAAGCGGATCGACAAACACCACTCCCGTAATAATAGTGAAGATATTTCATTATTTAATTTTTTGTGTGTTTTGGCCTAAATCCTGCTGAATTTTAAGCCAGTTACATTCCAAGTTGGAAAATTTTTTTCGTCATTCAGCGTCATGCTATTGTGTCTGACATAATTTTAATGTCGTGTCTTGGTCAATTTAGGGTAATGTGACGTTTATTTAAAATTACCACTAAGCTAAATATGCAAATTTTGATTTTTTTTCAGGTAGTATACATATCGGTCTTATACTTTCATAAATTTATTCGTGAAAAAAGTACATTAATCCAGGAATGTTATTTAAATACCAATATTTCTTTTCAACATTTAGATCTGTTTTTTCCTATAGATTTACCAGAATTGAACGGTTAGGAAAATAAAAAGCCAGTAGCAGATTTGCTTGTAATATAATGTTTTCTTCGTCCTAATTATTGAATGTTTTATAGGCAGACTTAAAGTAGAAACTCTACACCATCCATTGGTATACATGACCTCTTTGACCTTTTACAGGTGTGTTCCACCAAACGAACGGGCTTTTGCGCTGGGAATAGAGTTGTGTATAACGAAAAGTCTTGGTAGGTAAACTGATCTGTAGACATGACGAGATATAACTTATATCAAAGTCTGGAAATACTACCAAGAAAATCCGGAAAGCTGACAGCTTAGAAATATAGTTTTTATGAAATCTTCACTCTGACATGTTGATGGAAGTATCATAAAAAACTTTGAGTAGCGCATTTACCTATTAATCCTGCTTTTATTGCATCTGAAACTCAAGTAAACTTCCGTGCTTTATGTATCCATGTCCTTGTCGTCACATTCCCCTGAGACTCGACGTTATATGTAAACAAAGTAGGAGACGTTATATGTAAACAAAGTAGAAGACGTTATATGTAAACAAAGTAGGTGGCGTTGTATGTAAACAAAGTAGAAGACGTTATATGTAAACAAAGTAGAAGACGTTATATGTAAACAAAGTAGAAGACGTTATATGTAAACAAAGTAGAAGACGTTATATGTAAACAAAGTAGAAGACGTTATATGTAAACAAAGTAGAAGACGTTATATGTAAACAAAGTAGAAGACGTTATATGTAAACAAAGTAGAAGACGTTATATGTAAACAAAGTAGTAGACGTTATATGTAAACAAAGTAGAAGACGTTATATGTAAACATTGTAGGAGACGTTATATGTAAACAAAGTAGAAGACGTTATATGTAAACAAAGTAGAAGACGTTATATGTAAACAAAGTAGGAGGCGTTATATGTAAACAAAGTAGGAGACGTTATATGTAAACAAAGTAGAAGACGTTATATGTAAACAAAGTAGGAGACGTTATATGTAAACAAAGTAGGAGACGTTATATGTAAACAAAGTAGGAGACGTTATATGTAAACATTGCAGGAGACGTTGTATGTAAACAAAGTAGGAGACGTTATATGTAAACAAAGTAGGAGACGTTATATGTAAACATTGTAGGAGACGTTATATGTAAACATTGTAGGAGACGTTATATGTAAACAAAGTAGGAGACGTTATATGTAAACAAAGTAGGAGACGTTATATGTAAACAAAGTAGGAGACGTTATATGTAAACAAAGTAGGAGACGTTATATGTAAACAAAGTAGGAGACGTTATATGTAAACAAAGTAGGAGACGTTATATGTAAACAAAGTAGGAGACGTTATATGTAAACATTGCAGGAGACGTTATATGTAAACAAAGTAGGAGACGTTATATGTAAACATTGTAGGAGACGTTATATGTAAACGTTATATGTAAACATTGTAGGAGACGTTATATGTAAACAAAGTAGGTGGCGTTATATGTAAACAAAGTAGGAGACGTTATATGTAAACATTGTAGGAGACGTTATATGTAAACAAAGTAGGTGGCGTTATATGTAAACAAAGTAGGAGACGTTATATGTAAACATTGCAGGAGACGTTATATGTAAACAAAGTAGGAGACGTTATATGTAAACATTGTAGGAGACGTTATATGTAAACAAAGTAGGTGGCGTTATATGTAAACAAAGTAGGAGACGTTATATGTAAACAAAGTAGAAGACGTTATATGTAAACAAAGTAGAAGACGTTATATGTAAACAAAGTAGGAGACGTTGTATGTAAACAAAGTAGGAGACGTTATATGTAAACAAAGTAGAAGACGTTATATGTAAACATTGTAGGAGACGTTATATGTAAACAAAGTAGAAGACGTTATATGTAAACAAAGTAGGTGGCGTTATATGTAAACAAAGTAGGAGACGTTATATGTAAACAAAGTAGGAGACGTTATATGTAAACAAAGTAGGAGACGTTATATGTAAACAAAGTAGAAGACGTTATATGTAAACAAAGTAGGTGGCGTTGTATGTAAACAAAGTAGGAGACGTTATATGTAAACAAAGTAGGAGACGTTATATGTAAACAAAGTAGAAGACGTTATATGTAAACAAAGTAGGTGGCGTTATATGTAAACAAAGTAGGAGAAACAAAGTAGGAGACGTTATATGTAAACAAAGTAGGAGACGTTATATGTAAACATTGTAGGAGACGTTATATGTAAACATTGTAGGAGACGTTATATGTAAACAAAGTAGGAGACGTTATATGTAAACAAAGTAGAAGACGTTATATGTAAACAAAGTAGGTGGCGTTATATGTAAACAAAGTAGGAGACGTTATATGTAAACAAAGTAGGAGACGTTATATGTAAACAAAGTAGGAGACGTTATATGTAAACATTGTAGGAGACGTTATATGTAAACAAAGTAGGAGACGTTATATGTAAACAAAGTAGGAGACGTTATATGTAAACATTGTAGGAGACGTTATATGTAAACAAAGTAGAAGACGTTATATGTAAACAAAGTAGGTGGCGTTATATGTAAACAAAGTAGGTGGCGTTGTATGTAAACAAAGTAGGAGACGTTATATGTAAACAAAGTAGGAGACGTTATATGTAAACAAAGTAGGAGACGTTATATGTAAACAAAGTAGAAGACGTTATATGTAAACATTGTAGGAGACGTTATATGTAAACAAAGTAGGAGACGTTATATGTAAACAAAGTAGAAGACGTTATATGTAAACAAAGTAGGAGGCGTTATATGTAAACAAAGTAGGTGACGTTATATGTAAACATTGTAGGAGACGTTATATGTAAACAAAGTAGGTGGCGTTGTATGTAAACAAAGTAGGAGACGTTATATGTAAACAAAGTAGGAGACGTTATATGTAAACATTGTAGGAGACGTTATATGTAAACATTGCAGGAGACGTTATATGTAAACATTGTAGGAGACGTTATATGTAAACAAAGTAGAAGACGTTATATGTAAACAAAGTAGGAGACGTTATATGTAAACATTGTAGGAGACGTTATATGTAAACAAAGTAGGAGACGTTATATGTAAACAAAGTAGAAGACGTTATATGTAAACAAAGTAGGAGACGTTATATGTAAACATTGTAGGAGACGTTATATGTAAACAAAGTAGGAGGCGTTATATGTAAACAAAGTAGGAGACGTTATATGTAAACATTGTAGGAGACGTTATATGTAAACGTTATATGTAAACAAAGTAGGAGACGTTATATGTAAACAAAGTAGAAGACGTTATATGTAAACAAAGTAGGAGACGTTATATGTAAACATTGTAGGAGACGTTATATGTAAACAAAGTAGGAGGCGTTATATGTAAACATTGCAGGAGACGTTATATGTAAACAAAGTAGAAGACGTTATATGTAAACAAAGTAGGAGACGTTATATGTAAACATTGTAGGAGACGTTATATGTAAACAAAGTAGGAGACGTTATATGTAAACATTGTAGGAGACGTTATATGTAAACAAAGTAGAAGACGTTATATGTAAACAAAGTAGGAGACGTTATATGTAAACAAAGTAGAAGACGTTATATGTAAACAAAGTAGGAGACGTTATATGTAAACAAAGTAGAAGACGTTATATGTAAACATTGTAGGAGACGTTATATGTAAACATTGTAGGAGACGTTATATGTAAACATTGTAGGAGACGTTATATGTAAACATTGTAGGAGACGTTATATGTAAACATTGTAGGAGACGTTATATGTAAACATTGTAGGAGACGTTATATGTAAACAAAGTAGGAGACGTTATATGTAAACATTGTAGGAGACGTTATATGTAAACATTGTAGGAGACGTTATATGTAAACATTGTAGGAGACGTTATATGTAAACAAAGTAGGAGACGTTATATGTAAACAAAGTAGAAGACGTTATATGTAAACAAAGTAGAAGACAAAGAGTAGAACACAGGGTATATATGCTTTTTATGTAACACATTGTTTATATACTTTTGATTTTACACAGGGTATATATGCTTTATATTTTACACAGGGTATATGTGCTTTTATTTCACGCAGGGTATATACCTGGCCCGATACTGTTCGGCTGGCTGATTGATCTCTCCTGTTTAGTCTGGAACTCAAAGTGTGGAGAAGACGGCTCATGTTTCTTTTACGACAATGATAAGATGAGTAACAATATTTTGACGATTGTTATCGTTGGGAAGGCAGTCACCACTCTATGGACAATTCTCGCTTATTTGTGTTATATCCGGCGAGATAAAACTAAAACGGAAGAACATCAGGACGATTTGAAACAAGGGAGTCAGTTTTCCTCTCAAGAGACCGGAATCTCTGTTGTATCTGATCAGAATGTGCCAGCACAGTTCACAGGGATTACCCCAAATAATACACATCTTCAGAATTCTTCTAAACTAACATATTTAGAACCAGAAAGTGTTAAAACAACGCCATCGTCGACAGAAGTTGAAGGGCCAACGAATAACAGCATGCCACGAACGGGATCTTTTATTACTGAGCTGTAGTGCAGATTAAACTACATAAAACAACACGATGACACAAGGTTACCACTCTACATAATACAACACGATGACACAAGGTTACGGCTACATAATACAACACGATGACACAAGGTTATGACTACATAATACAACACGATGACACAAGGTTACCACTCTACATAATACAACACGATGACACAAGGTTACGGCTACATAATACAACACGATGACACAAGGTTACGACTACATAATACAACACGATGACACAAGGTTATGACTACATAAAACAACACGATGACACAAGGTTAGGGCTACATAATACAACACGATGACACATGGTTATGACTACATAAAACAACACGATGACACAAGGTTCGGGCTACATAATACAACACGATGACACAAGGTTATGACTACATAATACAACACGATGACACAAGGTTATGACTACATAAAACAACACGATGACACAAGGTTACCACTCTACATAATACAACACGATGACACAAGGTTACCACTCTACATAATACAACACGATGACACAAGGTTACGGCTACATAATACAACACGATGACACAAGGTTACCACTCTACATAATACAACACGATGACACAAGGTTATGACTACATAATACAACACGATGACACAAGGTTACCACTCTACATAATACAACACGATGTCACAAGGTTATGACTACATAAAACAACACGATGACACAAGGTTATGACTACATAATACAACACGATGACACAAGGTTACTACATAATACAACAATACACAAGGTTACCACTCTACATAATGATGACACAAGGTTATGACTACATAATACAACACGATGACACAAGGTTATGACTACATAATACAACACGATGACACAAGGTTATGACTACATAATACAACACGATGACACAAGGTTATGACTACATAATACAACACGATGACACAAGGTTACCACTCTACATAATACAACACGATGACACTCTACATAATACAACACGATGACACAAGGTTATGACTACATAATACAACACGATGACACAAGGTTATGACTACATAATACAACACGATGACACAAGGTTATGACTACATAATACAACACGATGACACAAGGTTACGGCTACATAATACAACACGATAACACAAGGTTACGGCTACATCATACAACACGATTACACAAGGTTACCACTCTACATAATACAACACGATGTCACAAGGTTATGACTACATAATACAACACGATGACACAAGGTTACGGCTACATAATACAACACGATGACACCAGGTTACGGCTACATAATACAACACGATGACACAAGGTTACCACTCTACATAATACAACACGATGACACAAGGTTATGACTACATAATACAACACGATGACACAAGGTTACCACTCTACATAATACAACACGATGACACAAGGTTACGGCTACATAATACAACACGATGACACAAGGTTACGACTACATAATACAACACGATGACACAAGGTTATGACTACATAATACAACACGATGACACAAGGTTATGACTACATAATACAACACGATGACACAAGGTTACCACTCTACATAATACAACACGATGACACAAGGTTATGACTACATAATACAACACGATGACACAAGGTTATGACTACATAATACAACACGATGACAAAAGATTATGACTACATAAAACAACACGATGACACAATGTTACCACTCTACATAATACAACACGATGACACAAGGTTATGACTACATAATACAACACGATGACACAAGGTTACGGCTACATAATACAACACGATAAGGTTACGGCTACATAATACAACACGATGACACAAGGTTACCACTCTACATAATACAACACGATGACACAAGGTTACCACTCTACATAATACAACACGATGACACAAGGTTATGACTACATAATACAACACGATGACACAAGGTTACGGCTACATAATACAACACGATGACACAAGGTTACCACTCTACATAATACAACACGATGACACAAGGTGAGGACTACATAATACAACAAGATGACACAAGGTTACCACTCTACATAATACAACACGATGACACAAGGTTACGGCTACATAATACAACACGATGACACAAGGTTACCACTCTACATAATACAACACGATGACACAAGGTTACGGCTACATAATACAACACGATGACACAAGGTTACGGCTACATAATACAACACGATGACACAAGGTTACCACTCTACATAATACAACACGATGACACAAGGTTACCACTCTACATAATACAACACGATGACACAAGGTTACGGCTACATAATACAACACGATGACACATGGTTATGACTACATAATACAACACGATGACACAAGGTTATGACTACATAATACAACACGATGACACAAGGTTACGGCTACATAATACAACACGATGACACAAGGTTACCACTCTACATAATACAACACGATGACACAAGGTTACCACTCTACATAATACAACACGATGACACAAGGTTACCACTCTACATAATACAACACGATGACACAAGGTTACCACTCTACATAATACAACACGATGACACAAGGTTACGGCTACATAATACAACACGATGACACAAGGTTACGGCTACATAATACAACACGATGACACAAGGTTACCACTCTACATAATACAACACGATGACACAAGGTTACGGCTACATAATACAACACGATACAAGTTACCACTCTACATAATACAACACGATGACACAAGGTTACGGCTACATAATACAACACGATGACACATGGTTATGACTACATAATACAACACGATGACACAAGGTTACGGTTACATAATGCAACACGATGACACAAGGTTACCACTCTACATAATACAACACGATGACACAAGGTTACGGCTACATAATACAACACGATGACACAAGGTTATGACTACATAATACAACACGATGACACAAGGTTATGACTACATAATACAACACGATGACACAAGGTTACGGCTACATAATACAACACGATGACACAAGGTTATGACTACATAATACAACACGATGACACAAGGTTACCACTCTACATAATACAACACGATGACACAAGGTTACGACTACATAATACAACACGATGACACAAGGTTACCACTCTACATAATACAACACGATGACACAAGGTTACCACTCTACATAATACAACACGATGACACAAGGTTACGGCTACATAATACAACACGATGACACAAGGTTACGGCTACATAATACAACACGATGACACAAGGTTACGGCTACATAATACAACACGATGACACAAGGTTACGGCTACATAAAACAACACGATGACACAAGGTTACGGCTACATAATACAACACGATGACACAAGGTTACGGCTACATAAAACAACACGATGACACAAGGTTACCACTCTACATAATACAACACGATGACACAAGGTTACGGCTACATAATACAACACGATGACACAAGGTTACGGCTACATAATACAACACGATGACACAAGGTTACGGCTACATAATACAACACGATGACACAAGGTTACGGCTAAACCCAAAGCTTAACTTGGATAAAATAGTTGTGATTTCACCCTGGTAAACCATAATACATCATCTCAAAACAATACCAAAGCGATGATATTAGTTAAATCTCGTAATTTGTATTGAGCAAAATACAAATTTGACTTATATCCGAGACCTTAATCACCATTATGCCCTAAGACAGAAATGCATGTTGCCATTGGTGAATATATCTAGTAACCAGGTATAAAATGTATCAATATTATATCATTAGATCTTCTATATGTTAGACAAGTTAGACATGTTCAGTCTGACTACCTTGATCATTCACCATTTTATGGATCACTCATCCTTGTTTGAAATGGTATATAGACCCTTTCTGTATCTTGATACTGAGTCGGTCTCCAGATACACACCCTTTGGTACATATCTTCACTTACACCAATAAACAAGAATACTACACTTGTGGACTTTCCTTTCATCATACCCCAACAAATTGGAGCCATGACCTCCTTTCATCATACAAACATCGTCACGCTTCAACACTAGTATCTGATATTGGTTTTGACTCTTCGTTGATATTTTCTAAACCAAGATTAATATTAGGAAACATTTTCTTCAGATGTATTAATCTTTAATAGATCCCAATAGGAACCAATTAGAAATGTTGAGATGCATTCACTTGCTGTTAAATGGCAGTAGAGCACACGTGCACTGGGGATGAAAAATCCTAGCTGCTATGTAGGAAAGTAAATGAAAAATGAATAAATAAAAAAAAACTACAAAACATAAGGAGCCTGATACTTGAAACTGTATATAACCGGTGATTGACATATATTTCTCCATGTTGTGTATGTGTGAGATTGGTGTAGTTCTAGTTTCATTTAGATTTCCCACAGTCACTTCCCTTTGTTTCACTTACTAATACTGACGATATAGCGATATGCTTTCATATCAACAGCGAATGGGAGGCCAAGAATGTATGTGCATTTGTTTGTGACCATTGTGACATGCTTCTCAAAAATATTTTTATATATATTTTCATCTATTAAATCGAAATTCACACTTGTCCTTGGTCTTTTCATATTTCTATAACATTTTTCCCCAGTTATTATAGTCTATGTTTGAATGTTTACGTGTATTAGAAAATATTAGGACGTTTATCTTTTTCGGACATGTTGGCATTCACTTTCACTATTTTTCAACCAATTTCATTGATAATCCAAAAAGATCGGACACCAGACATCGCCCTTGTCTTACCAGAAATAAAAACTACACCTTAATCCAATATTATTACTGAAGCAAGGGAGGCAACTCTCGCAACAATGCTATTTTCACACTTGAATGAATGTAAATTGATTTTGTTAATAACCGAGTAACTATGTTGTTGGTTTTAATGTTTTGATTTGTTTTGAGTCATTTTCGAATTATTTTACCCCACACATTAATATAGACAAGTATTGAATTTGAAACCAATAAAAATCGAAAACTGTTATTCACTTCAAATTCAGAGGTACG